ACACACACACACACACACACACACACACTGGTCTTCCTTGCTGCAACGAGGCTCGGGCCAGTCTCAGGGTGACAGGTTAGTTACACAGGCAGACATTTTTGGAATCACTCGGTCCAGTTAAACAAAGACAGCAGCAAACTGTTTGGTTTTCTGTCCTGGGTGTGCTCTTGTCCTGGCTGCTTTTATTGACAGAACAGACCTCATAACTACTCTGAAAACTCTCTCTCTCTCTCTCTCTCTCTCTCTCTCTCTCTCTCACACACACACACACACACACACACACACACACACACACACACACACACAGGCACACAGGGACGATGGAGCGGACAGGGAAAGGCAATCCAAGAAGGCCAGGAGTGAAAAAGTCCTTTCTCTGTGGGGGTGGTTCGGGACAGGGGGGCGGGCCCAGGCCTGTTTCATTTGCAGGCTGCAAATGCCTCTCCTATTCACGGCGCACATTCCCAGCCACGGCGCCCGGCCATGGACAATGCTGGGACCAGGGACACAGAGGATCGCGCATTGTGTTCGAGGGGCCAGCTGCCGCCTGCAGCCCCGAGCCAAGGTGTGGGAACTGCAGCCTCTGCCTTCCACACTCAAGGCTTGCAGGGGTGGGGTGGGGGGCACAGGGGCCTCCTCCAGCCAGGCGATAAGCCCAGGCAAGGCGGACGGGGGTCCCGGCAACTTCATCCCTGATTCATCCCCCATCTGGCAGGGATGAGTCTGTTCCTCCTGAGGGAACCCCCACCCCTGCCACAGCCCTCCCACGCTCCTGCCCCAAGTGGGGGCCGTTCCCCCCGTCTACCCACTGCCCAGGGTCTGCTCGGAACTGGGCTATCAGTTCAGTTACAGTGAACCAGGAGCCAGAGAGTGGCAACCAGAAGGCCACCTGCACCCCAGGCACGGTGAGAACTGCTCTGGAGAAGGCAGCTGGAGCAACGGGACAGAGGGAAGAGGCCGCTTCAGAATAGCGGAACGGGGGGCCTGAGCTGTAGTTCAGCAGGAAGGGGGTTTGCTCTGCACACAGTGGACCAGCATCCCACATGGTCTCCCAAGCATTGTTAGGAGCAATTCCTGAGCACAGAGCCAGGAGTAGCCCCTGAGCATTGCCGCTCATAGCAAAAGAAAAAAAAAATAATTAAAAAAAAAAAAGAATAGGGGCTGGAGAGATAGCACAGCGGGTAGGGCGTTTGCCTTGCACGCGGCCGACTCAGGTTCGATTCCCAGCATCCCATATGGTCCCCTGAGCACAGAGCCAGGAGTAACTCCTGTGCATCGCCAGGTGTGACCCAAAAAGCAAAAAAAAAAAAATTGTAGAGTAGAGCAGGAAAGACAAAGGAACTCTGGCTGGGGGCTCTGGGAGGGGGTTGGTTAGGGAAGGGTCAGCCACCAGGATTCCTCAGTCCACCCAGATAGTCTTTAGTGAAGAAAGCAGGGTGCAGATGGTGACAGTGCTCAGGCAGCACTCCTGGTAGGCTCAGAGCACCAAGTCAACACCTGTACTGTCTCTCTTGCTCCTGAGATCTGAATTTCATCCATGTCCCCAGTTGGCTCACAGAAACAGTAAATTTGAGAAGGCCGGCCCTGGGTCATACAGCACCCCACTCTGTGTCTGGGGCAGGGACTCGGGGCACCTGCACCCCAATCTCCCCTCTCCTGGAGCTAGCAGATCCCTCTTTGGGTCACTCATGCACACAGGCCCCCTAAAGGTATAAGTGAACACATCTGTTCCCACACAGGCCAGGTGTGGGCCGGAGTTAGCACAGGGGTCGAGGCTCTGGCCTTGCAGGCAGCTGACCCAGGTTCGACCCCCGGCCCCACCAGGACTGAGTGTAGAGCCAGGAGTCAGCCCTGAGCTGGCGTGGTCAGAAAACATCTTGGAGGGGCTGGAGTGATAGCACAGCGAATATGGTTTGCCTTGCATGCACCCAACCCGGGTTTGATTCCCAGCATCCCATATGGTCCCCCAAGCACCGCCAGCAGTAATTCCTGAGTGCATGAGCCAGGAGTAATCCCTGTGCATCACCAGGTGTGACCCAAAAAAGAAAAAAAATTAAGAAAAATTTCTACTACTTCCATATCCTACATATTTGATAGTTATATATGACAAAATAAAAAACTAGAAATTTAAAAGAAAAAGAAAAAGAAAACATCTTGGAGATGGAGAGATAGTACAGTGGGTAGGGCATTTGTCTGGTACTCAGGTCAACCTGGGTTTGATTCCCTGGCTCCCCAAATGGTACCCTGAGCCTACCAGGAATGATCCCTGAGCACTGCCAGGTGTTGCCCCAAGACAGAAACCAAAAAAAAACACCTTTCCCTGTGAATGGAACTGCTGGCACTTCCCAAAGCCCCACCCCTGCCAGCCTGCCTCACTCAGAGGGCCCTGGGTGGGGACACTGGGTCAGGGCTGGAGCATCCCAGCCATTGCCGCTGGCCAGGAGCTGGGGCCCCCAAGGGTGGGCTGTATGTCTCTGGGGAGTGCCTGGAGGCCCCTCCTCACACCCCTGTGGACCAGGCAGAAGTGGGCTCCTCCGGAGGGCTCATCACGCCTTCTCGAGCAGGGCACCCTCCTTCCACATCACACAACATCTGCAGTGCCTGCAGCTAGGGCTCAGCACAGGGAGTTGTTAGAAGCACCCGGGCCCCGTTAATCAGCTCTGGAGGTGTCTAGGGACATCTGTCTGTGAAGAGCAGAGGGTTCCAGTCCTGAGGGGAGAGGGGCCATATCAGACCCCTTCAGATCCCCCCAAACCTCCCCGGGCCCCAAGACGATGAGCCCAGCTGATCTCACTTCCATCCCTTCCCACCCAGACTCTCAGTTCTGAGACTGTTAGGAGCTTTTTTTGGGAACCAGGCGCCTCTCTCAGCTTTCCCGGTGCAGACTCAGCCCTCCAGGGGTCCCGAGCTGAAGACACGGGAGGCATCAGCAAGCATGCTGGCTAGAGGGGAGGGGGAGGCCACTCCAGGAAGCCTCCCTGTTTCGAGTTTCGCACACCAGCCAGGCTTCCTTGCGCTCCCAGCCTCCGTCCACGCTTCTCGGCCTCACACCCAGCCATCTGCTAAGGCTCCCCCACTCCGCCCCGGAGCGCCTGCCCGCTGGGGCAGAAGGGGTCTCAGGGTGCAGGGCTGCCTCCCAGAGTGCTCCATCTGGGGGTCTGGGCCAGCCTGCCCGGGAACAAAGGGGCGACTTCAAGTCATGGAGAGGGTGTCCTGATGCAATTCATCACTCACCAGCCCTTCAGAGCAACTGCGCACAAGCCCTGGGCTCCAGGAAGAAACTTGTCAGTGAGCAGAGGAGGGGGGAGGGGAGGAGGAGGCAGGGAGCGATCAGGAAGGGGCGGCAGGCAACATCGGTGGGCTGCAGTGGCCAGCGGTGTGGCGGAGCGCAGCGTGCTACTCAAAGGGCCCTTCTTGTTCCTCTGCTTCTCAGAACGTAACTGCGGACCCCTCCGGACCCCTCCGTCTATTTCCTCCTCTGCAAAAGGGGAGGATGAATGCCTCTCTGTGGGGCTGTGATGAGTAAATAAAATCATCCAGGCTGGGGGCCAGAGCAATAGCACAGCGGGGAGGGCGTTTGCCTTGCACGTGGCCGACCTGGGTTCAAATCCCTGGCATCCCATATGGTCCCCTGAGCACCCTAGGAGTAATTCCTGAGTGCAGAGCCAGGAGTAACTCCTGAACATTACCGAGTATGACCCAAAGAAGAAAAAATAGATACATATGCAAGCAAAGCATGAGGCAAGCGTGTCTGTCACACAGCAAGGCTTAGAAGAGTGAGCTAGAGCGATGGATGGCCAACAAGAGCCAGAGGAAGATTTTTAAGGGGTACCCCTTCCCCACAAACATAAAGAGAAGAGACAGAGAACATGATCCATTCGCCACAATCTTTGCCCAATCAGAGCAGTGACCCTCAAATACCACCACCCCAACCCCAGCAACTTGTCATATCTAGATATATATTACTTGGCTGTCTGGAGAGATAGAGGGTAGGGCACGTGTCTTACATGCAATCAATCAGCACCCCATGTGGTCCCCAGAGCCTGCAAGGAGGGTGATCCCTCAATGCAGAGCCAGAGCTCAGCCCTGAACACTGCTGGGTGTGGTCCCCAAACCAAAATATAAATAAATCATATTAGCATGGAGGTGAGCAGGGGTACCCTAATCACTGTGATGTCCCTGAACTAATTATATATTTTGTAAAGCAAATTGTTGGCAAGCTTCAGGACTTAATTACAGGTATAATGTGATTTGGGGGCGGGGCAGCTTGGGCTTTGGGCCACAATCCAGCAGTACTCAGGGGCTACTTCTGGTTCTGTGCTCAGGGTCATTCCTGGTGGTGCTCAGGTGACTTTAAGCACTTCTGGGGATTAAACTGGGGTCATCTGCTACAAGGCCTTACACCCTGTATGATCTGAAAAATCTCACGGAGCCCAAACTACCCTTCAAAATGCTCTTAAATCACCCACAAACTATGACAATAATTTATTTAAGCACAAGAACAGACTCACTGGACTGGAAGTCAGCGAGTGCAGGAACCAAGGCACTGACCCAGGAACTAGAGCAAGTTCACTCACTCGCTCCTGCTCCCCCCGCCCAAGAGATTCGCCAAACCACATTCGCATCATTCAATTCAGTCTATGATATAATTTTCCCACCACCCCTGACCACCATTCAACTATTATACACCGGGGCTGGAGCAATAGCAGAGCTGTTAAGGCGTCTGCCTTGCATGCGGCCGACCCGGGTTCGATTACCAGCAACCCATATGGTCCCCCAGAGCACCGCCAGGAGTGATTCCTGAGTGCAGAGCCAGGAGTAACCCCTGTGCATTGCCAGGTATGACCCAAAAAGCCAAAAAAAAAAAAAACCCAAAAAACAAACAAAAAAAAAAACAAGCAACTATCCTACACCAAGAAATTAGGACTTGGTATGAGACAGGGCATGCCTGGGCTGGCCATGGGCCCTGGTCTGGGAGAAATATAAAGGTGTCCACTTACTGGCAGCCTGGATGCGAGCTTTCCGGCTGACCACCAGCCCGAAGCGGTTCTGAGCCACACACTCATAGTCCCCCTCATCGGAAACGCTGCCTCTCCCATCCAGCCGGAAGTGAGGGATCATCAGGGAGCCGTTGGCCATCACCCAGGCACGGGTGCTCTCGGGAAGCTCCACCCCGTTCTTCCTCCAGCTGACCCGAACAGGAGGGCTGCCTTCCACCACACAGTCCAGCAGGACAGGCTGCCCGGGGATGGCGACATCGTCGCGTGGCTCCAGAGCAAACGCCAGTTCCAGAGAGCGGCCAATAGCTGCATGGGGCGGGGAGAGAAAAGCAAACAGAGAGGTTGGGGTCGGGGCTGAGGGATAGTCCAGCAAGGGAGGGCGTTCACCTTGCATGCATATGACCCGGGTCTGATCCTTGGCATCCCATATGGTTTCCTGAGCACCGCCAGGAGTGATTCCTGAGTGGTGGTGAATCAGGAGTAAGCGCTGAGCATCGTGACCAGGTGTGACTCTAAAAACAAAATGAACAAAGGAACGAGAAGAAGGTGCAGGCAGAAGAATGCCACACACGGGGCATCCAGGATCCCTGAGTCTGAGTACCCCAATCCCACTGTTCTGTAATGTGAGCAGGAATGTTGGGGGTCCACACATTCATTACGAGGTGCCAGGAGCACATGTGGGGAGACACTCTCTAGAGAGGCCAGTTGACAGATGAGGAGACAGACACCCAGGGAAGTCCCTGCGCTTAATGGATTGGGGACCGAAAGCAACCTGATCTCAGCACAGCTAAGGGCACTGTGGTCATCCCTCTGGACAAGCATTGGAGTCCCGCTGATGGACTGTGGGGACTTTAGGTCAAGTGTTGGATTTGACTTCCCATCCATTATCTGTTTTTTTTTTCCCCTTTTTGGGTCTCACCTGACAATGCACTGGGGTTACTCCTGGCTCTGCACTCAGGAATTAACCCTGGCGGTGCTCAGGAAACCATATGAGATGCCGGGAATCGAACCCGGGTCGGCCGCGTGAAAGGCAAACGCCCTACCCACTGTGCTATTGCTCCAGCCCCTCCATTATCTGTTTAAGTCTGGAACAACACAGCTCGTGTCGAGGGGGAATGGGTGATCTCAAGAACGGACTCCAGGACTCTATGGAAGTGAAGTGCTGGAGGGCCAGAGAGATGGCACCAAGGCTAAAGCATTTGCCTTGTACACAGCTGACCCAGGTTCAATCCCTGGCACTCCTATGGTCCCAGAGTCCACCAGGGGTGATTCCAAAGAGCTGCCAGTGTGGCCCCCCGAACCAAATAATAATAACAAAAAACCCAAAATTGTCAGCAATAGTAAAATATTGTTGCTTCTTTCAAAGTATTCCAAGGCCAGCGTAGTGTGGGGTGTGGGACTGGGGGGTAGGGATGAGCTCACCCCTGCCCCCAGAGCCCTGGGTTTGTTCAGCTTGCTTTTGTCACAGGGACACAGACGAGCAAGCGTTAGTTCATTTCCCAAACTTGAGCAGAGGTTCCAGAACATTGATCCTGGGCTCCGGCAGAAATCAGGTGGCAGAGGAGGAGGTGAAAGAAAAGAAGGGGACGAGGGGGTGGGGGCAGTGGGGAGAAGCCTGGCAGGTGGCACCACTCTCCAGTCCCAGGCCAGTTACCAACGTTTCCAATGAGCAACATACCAGGTCAGTTACAACGTGAGAGGTGGGGTGCTCGCTTTGCACACTTGCCGGTAGGGGTTCGATCCCTTGGTCTCCTGAGCACCCCATATGGTCTCCTGAGCCTCATCGGGAGTGATCCCTGAGCACAGCCAGGTGTGGCCCCAAAAGAAACAAAAACCCAGGAAAGTACCACAGGGGCTGCAAGGGCAGATATAAAGTCTTGCATTGGCAGGAAGACAGCGGCCCTTGGGGTAGGGTGGAAAAAGGAGCAGAAGGGGGCATTTTCCCACCTGGAGGAGGGGTGTCATGTTTTAGGCCACTGGCTGGCGGACCAAAGCTCCCAAAGCCCCCCAAAATCTCTGCACCCCCCAAAATTCTTCACCCATCCAAGTTCTGCATATCCACGCCCCCTGCCCCCACTGAATCCGAGAGAACAACTGCAAGAACAAAGTTTCTGTTATGCCACGGTGGAGCTGCCTCCACAGCCCAGAGATAGGGGCGAGGTCTGCGAGGATCACATCGGCACCCCTGTCCCGTGACACTCCCCACAGGCGCTGAGGGACCCAGCGGCAGCCACAGATCGCTTGGGCTCTGCTAGCATATGAGTTCAGGGTGTGGGGTAAGGGCGGGGACGCGGGCACCACACTGGGAGCTGCTTTCTGGGCGCTTCCCTGCCCTCCTCCGCGGGGGCTCCGTCTGCGCCGAAGGGGTGCTGCTCCTCCCCCTCCAAATCCCAAGTCCTCCTCCAGCGCCCAGTCTTCCCCTCCCCCTCTTCAGGGAGTCCTCCTCCGTCTTCCCATCCCGCGCACTCGCCCCAGTCCCTCCGCGATCGGCCGCCTCCTTCCAGCTCAGCGGGGGCGCAGGGGCCCCCTCGGCCGCCCGCCCGCCCGGCGCTACCCGGTGCCACAGCGGGCTCCGCGCCCCTCACCCCGCTGGGGTCTTGAACCCAGTGTCCCCTTCGCCCCGACTCCCAGCCGCGCGCGCCTCCGCCGAAACTCCGCGTCCCGTCCCCGGGGCGCGCGATCCTCAGCATCCCGCGTCTCGGTGCCCAACTCGGGGCTCCGCCCGTCCCCGCTCGGCCCCTCCGCGAACCAGTCCCCGGCGCCCCGCTCGGGTCCGCGCGCCGCGTCCCGCCCCGCCCCACGCGCCCGCGGGTCCGCGCCCCGGGACCCCCGGGGGCTCGGCTCACCCCGGCCGGGCGCGGGCAGCAGCGGCAGCAGCAGCAGCGGCAGCAGGAGCGCGGGTGGGCGCGGGGCTGCGGCGCGCGGCGCAGCCATGGGGCTCTCGGGCGCGGCTCCGCGGCTCCGGCGCTCACAGCGTCCCGCGGGGCCGGCGCCGGGGCCGGGGCCGGGGCCGGGGCTCGGGCCGGGGCCGAGCCCGGGCGGCCGGGGGCCGGGGCCACATGCCCGCTTGCGCCATCTTGCACCCGCCGCGGCGATGTGTCAGCCTCGCCCAGGGCGCGCGCCCCGCACCCGCGCGCCCCGCCCCGCCCGCCGCCCCCCGCGCTCCCCGCCGCCGCTCCCCTCCCCCGCCCCGCTCCCCGGAGGCCGGGTCTGGGGAACAAAAGAGCCGGCGAGCGCTTTGAGCGGCCGGACATTCCCGGCTGCGCGGCGGACGCGCCCCCCCTGCGCTTTGAACTGCGCCCGAGCGGCCCGCGCCGTCCCGGGCCGCGCCCCGACGGGTCCCCCTCGCCGCCGCCGGGGCCGGGACTCGCGGGGAGAGCGGCGCGGCACGCGGTTGGGGTGCGATGCCGGAGAGGCATCCACCAGCTCCGGCCGCTGCGCGCGCCCCACCACCGGGTCCGAGGACCAATTCGGGATCTTTCCCTAAAAAAAAGAAAAAAATGGCACGAAGTTGCGGGAGATTCGGTCTGGCGTGGATTTCCCCGCGCTCCTTCCACCCTGAGGATGGGACGCTCGGCCGCAAGAAGTTTCTCCAGCCAACCGCCCTGGCGGACCCGGAGACGTGGCTGAGGCAGTAGGTTTCTCCAGACGCCCAACAGCACAACGAACGCCCCTGAGTATCCCAGGTTCCACCCCAGTTCTTGCCTGGCCAGGTACACAAGTGAAAGAGAGAAAAGAATCCTCTCTCTTCGACTCACAGTGGACACTCACACGACGTGGTCCTCAGAGACCACCAGGAAACTGGAAAAGCACATTGGAAGTTAAAATTTTTTTTTTTTTTTTTTTTTTGCTTTTTGGGTCACACCCTGCCATACACAGGAGTTACTCCTGGTTCATGCACTCAGGAATTACTCCTGGCGGTGCTCGGGGGACCATATGGGATGCTGGGAATCCAACCTAGGTGGGCTGCATGCAAGGCAAACACCGATCCGCTGTGCTATTGCTCCAGCCCCTGGAAGTTAAAATCCTGGGGGCCTAGCGCTTGCTTTCCACGTGGCCAACAACCCAAGGCTCAATCCCCAGCACCAGACATGGCCCCAAGTAAGGCTTGGGGTTCATCGATTTGCTCGAGTGGGCCCAGTAACGTCTTCATCATGAGACTTATTGTTACTGTGTTTGGCATATCGAATACGTCAAGGGTAGCTTGCCAGGCTCTGCCTTGTGGGCAGGATACTCTCTGTAGCTTGCTGGGCTCTCCGAGAGGGGCTTGGCATCGAACTGGGCCATGTTGGCTGCTTGTAAGGCAAACGCTCCAGCCCCAAGCCTTGGGGTTACATTTGCATTTCTATGTAGTAAAGAAGACTTAATGATTCACATCAGAGAACACTTGAGACGTGGGAAGAAAACATCCAGGTAAGAACATTCCAGAATGGACCATACTTGGTGCCAATTCTGAAATCTTGGAAGCAAGAGTGCTACAACATAGACAACTAGAGGGCCAGAGCCATAGTACGGTGGGCGGGGCATTTGCCTTGCACGTGGTCAGGTAAAGGTCTTGCTTACACACAGCTGGACCTGGATTAATTCCTAGCACCCCATCTGGTTGGTCTCCTGAGCCCGGCCAGGAGTGATTCCTGAACACTGAGCTGCGCCCGCCGGCTGTGATCAAAATCCCCAAACCCAAACAAAACAAACTAATGTTGGTGTTGGTGGGAGAAAGCAGCACAGGCCTCCAGAAGAAATCAGAGCTGAGTTCACTGACCCGGGCTCTGGGATTCCCTGGATTCCCAGGATTCCCTGTTCTGTAGCAGCAACTAGGTGAGTCCAAGAGACAGGTCCTAAGGCAGAGCCAAGTGCCAGAGAAATGCAGAACCAGGGATGCCCAGCAGCCCAAGCCAAACACTGACTTAATTGCAGGGAGGCATCCCTGGGTGTAAAAGTCCTGGAATTTCCTTCTGCAGGTTTTGAATACTCAACACAGGCTTCTAGGCTTGTCCTGGATTCCGGAGAGGTCAAATCAGTGTTCTAAGCGGCTGTCATTTTAAAATTCATTTTGACAAGTGTTTAATTCTTTTTTATCACAAAGCTTGGTTTGAGAGTGATATGCAAATAATGTCTGTTCTGCTGTGTGCAAAATGTGCAGAATCTCTCTGTATGATCTGTCAATTAACTCTCTGCTCTCACCCTGAAGACCCCTTGGGGGCTGGTCATAGGCCCGGCAGCCTCCGATAGAAACAGATGTTCCAGGCACTGCCCAAATCCAGCCCCGTTCCTGAGATGGGTGTGATCCTGGAGTGGTGTGTCACCTTAGGGACACAGGGTGAATGTCCACCGCAGGTCTCTGAGCTTGCAGGCATAGAGCTCTGTGTGGGAGTGTACAGTTAAGAGCAGAACTAGAAGAATGGAGGAAGGAGACTAGCAGGGATGTGTCAAAATACCTATTTTGCATGTGTGAAGCCCTGAGTTCAATTCTTGGAACACACAAACACACACACACACACACACACACAAAATTGGGCCCAAATCTCTGGAGTCATTCATTCACTACCTGCTTGCACCCGTGAAAGTTCAAAATAGCACTCAAGAGTGAGAAGAGATCCCCCAGGGGCCAGAGTGATAGTGCAAGGAGGAGCTGCCATGCTTGCAGGCTGACCTGGGTTTGATACCACATATGACACCACATATGTATTCCCCCAAGCACACCAAGGAGTGACCTCTGAGCAGAGCCAGGAGTAAAATCTGAGCATAGCTGGCGTGCCCCCCCCCCAAAAAAAGAGAAAATGGACAAAAAAGAGGGCTGGAGACATAGTACAGCAGGTAAGGCAAGACTTGCCTTGCATGCAATCGACCCAGATTCTATCTCTATCATTCCATATGGTCCCCTAAGCAACCCCAGTACTAATTCCTCAGTGCAATGCCAGGAGTAACCCCTGAGCATCACTGGGTATAACTCCCCTTTAATTAACTTTCCCCCCAAATTTAACCCCTCCAAAAGGAAAAGAGAGCCTATAGAGTACAATCAGGGGCCAAGGGTTGGCACAGCAGCTAGGACACAGCAGCCGACCTCGTTCAATCCCTAGCACCTCATATGGCCCCCAAGTCCCACCAGAAGCAATTCCAGGAGTAAGCCCTGAGTACCACTGGGTGAACGCCCCCACCTGCAAAAAGAGAGCAATCAAAGAATGAATCTTTCCAAAATGTATTTTCCTCTAGTTACCTGAGCAAGATGGTTTATGTCCTTCCCACAACTACCAACTTCTCCCCTCAAAATGCAACATTGTTCCATCCAGGTAGGAAACAGTTTCTAGGGCAGGAAAACTCAGGAAATTCCAGACATTGGATCCCAAAGAGAATTTCACAGTTTTTGGAAAACGGTTTATTATTTCATTATAGGGACAGATACATGAACAATGCCTTGGCTTAACACTAAAGAAAAGCATATCTGTAAGGAGAACAAGCACCAGGAAAGGAATTAAATAATATGGCATCAACTAAATACAAATAAATGAACAGATTACCAGATACATTTGCCATGCATCAAGAAAAGGGCAGTTTAAAAGACCCCAAAACGTAAGGCATCAATGGTAGGTGACAATGGATTAAGACACTGTAAAAGTCCAATAGACTCTTTTCTAATAAAAAATACTGCTACAGAGACACAAATCTAACACTTCCCAAATTACCTGAAGCCCAAATCATATATAGTGCTAGTAAGTAATGGCCACTTTCTTATCAACTGTGAGTTATAGGCAGATACCAGATTTATTACTTATTTGCTTTTGAGAAACAATTTTCCACCCAACCTAATGGGTTATAAATTGTCTCATTTGCAGCTATTTAATTTAAACCAGAACCTCAGTGCCTGTTAAACAAGAACATGAAAAATGACTACGTGGCGTAATGCTAAGCGCCTCCTGTTAAAATAGCCATTTGATTCAGGACAGGTTTTTCTCTCTGCTTTAGAAAAAAAAAAAAAAGAAAATCAAACCAGCAAAATAAAATGAGGCTTTTGACCTTCAGAGCGACGCGGAAACCTATACACCGGCACGCTGAACATGGCAGAAACAGCGCCAGTGACAATTCTGTTCTTAACGAGATACAAAACCCACATTAATAATCTTTAGTGCTATCACAGGCTGCGGGGAAGGGGGAGGGGAGGAGTCGGAGCCAGAGTGCCAGTGTCAACTGTGAGTGACACGCGGGTGTAATAAACGCAGATGCAGAAAGGGCCCGAGGAAGCAGCAACTCGGAGAGACATTCACCATTAAAAAATATATAATAATAATAATAAAGTGAAAGATAGACTAAACTGGTTGTTTCTAATTTGGCCCAGAAAGCCAGAGTTAACCCTCAAGGTGCCGATCAGTTAACAAAACAAAAGAGAAGCTGCAAGTCAGGAGGAAAGAACTCCAGTCAGAGATGCGGGGTGCAAAATCAGAGAAATGGCACTGTGTCCTGGACACAGGAGTCTGACATCCAGCTTGTCCTTGGGTAGCCCGTCAACAGAACAGAACTTTAGACTGACTCAAAACTCAAAACCCTGGGTTGGAGCAATAACACAGCGGGTAGTGCATTTGCCTTGCATGCGGCCGACCCGAGTTCGATTCCCAGCATCCCATATGGTCCCCAGAGCACTGCCAGGAGTAATTCTTGAGTGCATGAGCCAGGAGTAACCCCTGTGCATCATCACCAGGTAAGACCCAAAAAGCAAAAAAAGTAAACACCTCAAAACCCAAAACCCAAACCCGAGATGAGCAGAGCTGGCTACCCCCCAGCCAACCTGTGGTATCATGGGTGCAGTGTGGGAAGCCAGGAGGAGTGGTGGCCCAAGACCTTCAGGTCCAGCCATTTCCCTGCGGGGTGGACTCTTCTCCTGGACCCTTCCCTTCCCACGTGGAAATGTTGCAGCGGGGATTCAATGTATCACCTCTGAGGAGAAGCCCCCTATCCCATCTCACCCTCGGGAGGGGAGAGGCCAGGGGAGCTGGCAGGGGCGTGGGGTGGCCTGGGGGGGGGACAGGGCATGGAGGCACAGAGAGAAAAGGGGAGCAGGGGATGAAGGCGGACACAGGGGTCACGCTATGGCCTCGAAGCAGACATGAGGTAGCCATGTTGTCCCGGAACGGTGCGGAGACGGAAGCCAGGCGGGAGAAGCACATGCTAGAGGGGGCAGCGGGTACGGCGCCAGGGCAGAGGAGGAGAGCAGAGGAGGACTGAGCTTTGCAAAACCAGGCACTTCCCGAGTTACAACATGAAATGCAGAGCGGCTCGGCTCTGAGCCAGGCCAGAGCCAGGCCAAGGGATGAGGCAGTGAAGGGGGCGTCAGAAGGTGCTCAGCTGGCTGGCCAGGACAGGATGGGGCGGGCTGTCTGTCAGACAGGGCATTGGAGACACTCTCAGAGTGTGTAATAAAAGGTGAGGCGTGGAGGGGGGCCCTCAGGGCGGGGCCCACACCGCTCAGCTCTGCAGCAGGCTGGAGCCTCTCTGTGTCCTGGTGCTGCAGAGAAGGCGGGGCCATTTCTCCCTCTTCCCAGCAGAAGCCCCCAAGTGACTTCTGCAGGCATACGTGTGTCACACGCATCTCACATGTGCGTGCACGCATGGCTACATACGTCACATCCAACCAGCCTGCACTCCCCCCCATACTGCACCCTCTGAGGGGCGTGCTAAGTAGAAGAGGAGAAGGTGGCTCCAGGCGGGCAGGGGGTCCAAGGTGGGCAGCTGCTCCCGGGGGTGTCTTGCTGCGCCTCGCCAGTCTGGGGGATCACGTAGGGGCAGGGCACACTGGGGGCCTCTGGCAGGCAGCTGAGTCTGTCCGGCCCGGGGCTCACTGGCTCACACCCGCCCAGATCCTGGTCCAGCCACGCTGCTGCTGGCCCGAGATCCACAAGGCCCGGGGTGAGGGCCGGAGTGTCCAGAGGAGGGGGGTCGGGAGGGTCCACCAGGTCCTGAAGCGGGAGCTCAGGGCTCCCTTCTGATGCACTGAAGCCAGAGTGGACGATGACCTCGGCCTCCACCTGGTTCCTGCAGGCTGGGGGCACCTTCTTCCGGCCATTGCCCTGGTCAGAGCAGAGAACAGAAACAAGGCGACTGTGAGGGAGAGAGCACGGGACAATGGCCACAGTGGACAGAATGGAGAGGCGGGGCCCCTGGAGCCCAGAGCCTGTGGTGGGTATCTGAGACCCCTTCCAGGAGGGCGATGACCAGGCCACCCCCTCCCTGAGACGCTGAGGGGTCCCACCCTAGCCCAGGAGACAGCCTGACCTTGATGGCATCGTACACCAGCGCCTGCAGGAGGAGCGTCTGCCCGGTGCCCGCAGGGGGCAGCAGGGCCCGGGTCAAGGTGGGCATGGGGCCTGCTGGGGGCAGCTCACAGCCCGTGCAGGCTCCTGCCCAGCTGGGCGCACCTGGTTGAGTCCACGAGATCTGCGCAGAGGGGGGTAGGGAGAAGGGGAGCTGAGGGGCAGGCTGGGGACCGAGGGAGGGGTGGGGTCAGCGGGACTTCCTGAGGCTCTGCCTCTCCCTCCCGGAGGCTGCATGCAGGGGGCCTTCAGAAAGGCTGCAAGTGAGTCTGGGGGCACATCTGGGGTCTCCTTCGCCACGTGGGCAGGGACACTTGGCTGCCGCGGGGAGATCAGTCTCTGTTCCCCCCGCACTGGGGCAGCCTGGCTCCCGAGGCCACTCCGAGCTGCCGGGAGGCGGCTTCAAGGGGGTGATCGAGCGCCCAGAATCACCTGCAAAGGGCCCAGAGACCCAGGCGGGTCCACCTGCAGCCCTGCCCCGGCCTGAGCCTTTGCTCCTGCAGCTCCCGGGGAAGGCGTCGGCCGGGCGCGGGCGCGGGCTGTGCTCTGGCGCCCCCTGCCGGTCTCCTCCCCCCCTCACCTTTCTCTTGCAGTGACCCCGGCCGCCGCCGTCGGAAACGCCACCCCCCATCAGGCTGTGCACTTCGGCTGGGTCCTCGATGTCCGAGGGCGGCGGGGACCATTCCTGGGGACGGGGATGCACCAGCGACTCCAGTTCATGAGCAGCCGGGGGGCTGGGAGGGCCGAACCGGGCTCGGGAGTAGAGCGCGGGGTTCCCGGTGGTGGTGGTGGCGGAGGTGGACAGCCCTGGGAGGGCCTCCCTGGAAGGAAGGGCAGACGGGGCGAGCACGATGGTCAGGACAGCGGGCGGGCGGGGGTGGCCCGTCCAGCCGTGTCCCTGCATCAGTTCCTGGAACCCCGATTCCCATCCGTGCAACAAAAGAAATAGCCGAGACAGCTACAGCAGGGCCAAGGGACCCTCTGTCCATCTCCCCTTTCCTCCCTCCCTCCCTCCCTCCCTTCCACCCAGGTCCCCAAGCCTCTGGGGCCTCTTTCTCAGCCACAGAGGGCACCGAGGGCGCAGGGACATCACCCCTTCTTCCTTCACCCCTTTCTTCCTTCATAAAGAACCACACGAGGTTCCTGGGGGTGTGTCTTGGGGCAAGCCTCAGTGCTCTCTGAAGCCCTTCTGGAAAGTTCTTCCCTCATGCCACCCGCTCAGGGCACACCTGCGGGGGCGGCGGCGGAGGCCGGCACACATGCAGGCCAGGAGGCAGAGGAGGCCCAGACACACGCCCACGATGATGCCGGTGACCGAGTGCACGTCCAGCGAATCTGGGAGAGGACAGGCGCGGGGCAGGTCAGGGCACGGCTGGTGGAGGCTCAGGGCTCCTGGCTTCCTTGGGAGCCCTGGCCTAAGTCTCACCTCTGGGGCTTGAAGTGTGCTGCAGGGACTGGATGACCTCTCTGGCCCTTCTCTCCAACTCGCCTCCCCCCACACCCCCAAAAGTTGTGGTACCACCCGGTCCAGCGGGCCTTGCTGTGAGAAGGTGTGAGTGAGTATGCCAGGGCCGGTGGACAAGTGCAGGAGTTGAGCCCAGCCCCGCAGGGTCCTCGGCACTGAGCACTGCCTGATGCGGCCCCCAAACTAAACCAAACCAAACCAAATCCTTGCCAGGTCTCAGGGCACATTTCCAGGGTCCCCCACTTAGGGGTTCCAGCTCAGCTTGGTACTCTGCCTACAGCTGGAGTTTTCTTTCAGGCAGGACTATTTCCACTTCTCAGAGCTATGCCGCTTATAGAGCCATCCCACGAAGCACAGCACCCCAAGCCTGGGCCGAGCAAAGCAATCCCCCAAAGAAACTCAGCTCCGGGGCTGGCGAGATAGCACAGTGGGTCAGGCCTTTGCCTTGCACGAGGATGACCCAGGTTCGATTCCCAGCATTCCATATGGTCCCCAGAGCACCGCCAGGAGTAATTCCTGCGTGCAGAGACAGGAGTAACCCCTGTGCTTCTCTGGGTGTGACCCAAAAAGCAAAATAAATAAATAAAAATAAATAAGGGTTGGAGCAATAGCACAGCGGTAGGGCGTTTGCTGTGCGCGCAGCTGGCCCGGCTGAGCCGGGTTCAATTCCTCCGCCCCTCTTGGAGAGCCCAGCAAGCTACCGAGAGTATCTCGCTCGCACGGCAAAGCCTGGCAAGCTACCGTGATGTATTCGATATGCCAAGCACAGTAACAACAAGTCTCACGATGGAGACGTTACTGGGTCCGCTCGAGCAAATTGATGAACAATGGGAAGACAGTGATATCAGTGAGATAAATAAATAAATGAATAAATAAACTCATTTCTAAGTCCACCCTGGGGTCATCCGTCTGGACCTCACCTCCCAACCCACACTGAGCCACGTGCATCCCTGTCCCTGGCAGCAAAGCACTCGCCAACACAGACCAGGCCCTGGATTCCTGCCATGGCACCATACACACACAGGTGCCCGACTCCAGGCTCACCGTGAGCTGGGGACCCCGGGATGCCCTCCATGCCCACCCTCAGCCTTGGTACCTGCTGGCTTCTCCTGCAGCGTGATCACATCCTGTAGGCCTGAGAAGGGCCCAGGCCCCACCTCGGTGCGTGCTCCCATCTTGAAGAAGTACCGGGTGTCGCTCTCCAGGCCCTGCACCTCTGCACTGAAGATGTTGCCTGCAGGTTTCGGGGAGCAGAGGATGGTGGGATTCGGCAGGTGGGGCTGGGAAGCCAGCAGAGACCACCCTGCCTGCTGCAGATGGTGCCTTCTGCCAGCTCCTCCTCAGGAGCCTGAGAACCAACGAGGGGCTCTCGGGGGGGGGGGGGGGGGGGAGGCAGCTGTCAGGGGGCCCTCACCCTCGGTGGTAAGCAGGGTCCACTGGTGCTCGGGCTGGCTGTGGTTGCTGCTATAGAGAATCAGGTACTCCACGATCTCCCCATTGGGCTCCGTGGGGGGGCACCAGTGTAGCCGGACCGTGGACGGCGTCAGGGAGCTCAGGCGCAGGTCGGAGGGGGGCGTGGAGGGCCCTGGGGTGCAGGGAGGAGGCAAGGAGAGGTGGAGTTGCTCAGAGCCCCACTCCCAGGGGCCGCCGGGAGCAGTGGGTGCAGTCACAGCCTCCGTCTCCTCCCACGGGACCCAGCCACGTGGCACGGTGAGCTCTTGCCCAGGGGAACTTGCGGATGATAGCAGAGGCACTGCCGACCCCACCCTCGAAGGCTTCTCTCAAGCGCCCCAAATTTGCAAAAGTGGAGGGTGCTGCCTGCTCTCCTAGGGACTGTGGGGCCAGGAAGAGGCCGGGGGAGGACACTGGTCTTGCACGAGGTCAATGCAATGTGGTTCTTTTTTCTTTTTTGGTCTTTGGGTCACACCCAGCAATGCTCAGGGTTACCCCTAACTCTGCAAAGATCCAACTTGGGTCGGCCATGTGCAAGGAGAGTACTGTATCTCCGGCCCCCAGTGGGAGATCAATCTCTGACACCGAATATGGTCCTCCAAGCCCACCAGGAAGGATTCCTGAGCACAGAGAAAGGAGGGAGCTTGAGTGCAGGAAGACCCCTCCCTCCAAAAAAAAGGAAGGAAGGAAAACAGGTAGGATGGAGGAACCTTCATGAGAGGAATAAAAAAAGGAAAGGAAGGAAGGAAAGAAGGAGGGAGGGAGGGAGGGAGGGAAGGAAGGAAGAAAGATAAACCAGAGCTTTAAGTGGAGTCGAGAGAGGCTCCGAGGATGGATCACAGGCTCTGCAATGGGAGGTCAGGGCTCCTCCTCCCTCCGACCTCTGTGGTGACTCTTGAGCATAGAACTTGGAGAAGCCCTAGAGAATGGTTATGGTGTGTGGCCCCAAACACACATACAATTTTTTTCAAACACAGTATTTTTTTTTTAAATTGGGGGGGCTGGAGCAATGGCACAGCAGGTAGCGCGTTTGCCTTACATGCGACCGACTTGGGTTCAATTCCCAGCATCCCATATGGCTCCCTGAGCACCAGCAGGAGTAATTTTTGAGTGCAGAGCCAGGAGTAACCCCTGTGTATCACTGGGTGTGACCCAAAAAGGAAAAAAAAAAGACAATTTGGGGCTGGAGAGACAGGACAGTTGGTGGGTGTTTCCCTTGCATGCAGCTGACCGGGTTAGATCCCCGGCACCCACGATGGTCCCCTGAGCCCTGCCAGAAGTGATTCCTGAGTGTAGAGCCAGGAGTAACTAATGAGTACCACTGGGCATGACCCTCTCTCCAAAAAATAAAACCCCAAACCCAACAAAAAAAGCAAATTCCTGAGGATGGGGGCCTCCAACCTCCCAACCCTGCAATCTATTTCATTTCAGATCCTGGATCAAAAGGGCTAGAGTGATAGCACAGCAGGTAGGGCATTTGCCTTGCACGTGGCTGATCCGAGTTTGATTCCCAGCATCCCATAGGGTCCCCTGAGCACCGCCAGCAGTAATTCCTGAGTGCAGAGCCAGAAGTAATCCCTGTGCATCTCTGTGTGTGATGACCCAGGGTCGGGAAGCTGAAGAGCAGCTGGTGGGGGAGGGAGGGTTCACTGGTCATGAAGTGCCGCACAGCATCTGAGAACTGAGGACTTGCAGGAGGTACAGGCCCGTCCCTCGCTCCGTGTGTGTGTCTGTGTGAATGTCTGATTTATGTGCGGGCCAGAGGGTGGGACCCAGTGCTCCAACCGGGGACAGACATGCTCCATGCTTCCTTTCCTCTGGGCCACACCCGACAGTGCTCAGGGGCTGCTTCTGGTTCTGTACTCTGGGGTGACTCCTGGTTGTGCTCAGGGGACCAAAGGCAGTGCTGGGATTAAACTGGCATCAGCAGAAAAGGGCCTTAACCCCTGCACTATCTCTCTGCCCCCTCATTTTTTGGGGGGTGGCACACAAGGCTTACTCCTGGCTTTGTGCTCACTCCTGGTGGAGCTCAGGGGACCATATGGGATGCTGGGGATGGAACCTGGTTGGTCACATGCAAGACAAATACCTGCCCCTCTGCACAATCGCCAGCTCCAGTCTCTTGACAAATGATGACAACTAAGAGTGGGCAAGCAAGTCCACTGTGAGGAGCAGGACAGGGACAACCACTGCTCAGTCCTGACACCTACCCTGGCCCCTTTCGCCCGCCGTGTCTAAATGTCAGGTCAGGATGTGTTTGAGGTACTGGGTGAGGGCATCACGGCACTGTCCTCAACAAATGCCAAGCCGGGGGCTGGGAAGGGGCTGCGGGGGCAGAGAGAAGTGGGGATGGGGTGACTTGGTGGCCACTCACGGTCTGGCAGGGTGGAGCGCTCCACCACGGAGCCGAAGGGCCCGTCCATGTCCACCCCATGGGACTGGATTGCAAATTCATACTTGGTGAAGGGCTTCAGCCCGCCGATGAGGATGTCTTCTCCAGAGCTGCAGAGAACCAGAGACCGCTGAGCCCAGCTCCCTCTGCTGGTGGGACAGGGCCGTGCCCCCCCCAGTCCTCCCCCCACACCCCACTCCCCACCCCCAGCAAGGGCACCTGCATTCTGGCGAGGGGGGGTCCTGCAGAGAAAGGGTTCCTGGGCCTCTCGCTCACTGTTCAACCCCCTGGGCCGGGCCCCCCACTCCAGAAAACCAGGATTCATGCAAATTATTCTCCACCCACGCAGCAACCAGCCTGGGCACCATGACCTTGACTTCAGTTTCACTTTCTGGGTCTGTTGCATTTTTACCCCACACTTTCTCTGCCAAACTGGCAGCTCCACAGGGCAGCTGCCTCCCATCCAACCAGCTCAGATAGTCTCAGCGGCTGGAGGAGCAGTTCTGCAGCCTGTTCTTGAGCCTGGGTGCCAGGCTGGGGTGGGAAGGTACCCTTCCCCCCAAGCAGGTCATCAGGCCGCCTGGATGGGCCCAGGACCCGTCTCTGTCCCACCTGGTATAGTAGGTGACCAGGGAGGCGTTCCGGAGCCCCCAGGGGCTGAAGCGAACCGTGTAGTTGACAATCTTCACCGTGGTGAAATCTGGCTTCTTCCACCGTAGCCAAATAGATGTGGAGCTATTAGATTCTGCATGGACATGGGCGGGGGGCAGGGGTGGCCCCCTCTGGACGGGCAGATCTGAGGGTGACAGGAAGAGTGTGGAGAAGGGGGGACACTTGCCCCTGAGAAGGTAGAGTGGCCAGCAGTGCTCAGCAGACCCCTCCTTTCTCCTTTCTTTCTCTCTCCTCTCCCTCCCCTCCTCCCTCCCTCCTCTCTCTCTCTCTCTCTCTCTCTCTCTCTCTCTCCAGCCCCAACCACTATCTCTTTCGGAGCTGCAAGTTTCATTAATCCTACTTCACCAATTTGGAAACCGAGGCTCTCATAATTCAAGTTTTTTGCTTGTTTGTTTTTGGGGCCACCCCAGCAGTACTCAGGGCTTACTTCGGGCTCTGTGCTCCAGGGGTCACTCCTGCTGGGTCTCAGGGGACCATGTGGATTGCTGGGGACCAAACCCAGATTGGCTGCATGTTGGCTATGTGCAAGGCAAATGCCCTCCCTGCTGTATCATCACTCCAGCCCCGCATCCAAGTGATGTATATATATTTTTTGTGCCAAGGTTATACCTACAACAGACTGTGGAACAGTAAAAACGTATTCTAGGGACTGAAGAGATAATACAGTGGGTAGGGTACTTGCCTTGCACACAACTGATCCAAGTTCCATCACCAGCATCCAATATAGTCCTCCAAATACCACCAGGAATGTAATCGAAAGACAATAAATTATAGCAGTAGAACCAGAGATTTAAGAGTAAAGTGGCCCTGGTACAGTGCCAGTGCTGCCTCCTGTTAGCTGTGTGACCCTGGAGATGTTACATGACCTCTCTGTGCCTTCACTCACCAGAAAGTGGAGCTGATTAAAGTACCCATTACATCGAGTTGTCAGGAGTTAAGAATGAAATTGGATGGGGGCTGGAGCGATAGCACAGCCGGTAGGGCGTTTGCCTTGCACGCGGTCGATCTGGGTTCGATTCCCAGCAACCCATATGGTCCCCGAGCACCGCCAGAGGTAATTCCTGAGTGCATGAACTAGGAGTAATGCCTGTGTATCGCCAGGTGTAACCCAAAAAGCAAAAAAAGAAAAAGGGGGGGGGCTGGAGCAATAGCACAGTCAGTAAGGCATTTGCCTTGCACGTGGCAGACCTGGGTTCGATTCCCAGCATCCCATATGGCCCTCTGAGCACCGCCAGGAATAATTCCTGAGTGCAGAACCAGGAATAACCCCATGTGCATGGCCAGGTGTGACCCAAAAAGAAAAAAAAAAGGATGAAATTGGAGTTTGAGGAGTTACAGAGAAGAAGATCTGGCATATCCCCCAATGCATATGGTGAAATCTGAACACAGAGTTCATGAAACAATTGGTCTGTCTTGTTCCTGCTTTTCTTTTTGTGCAGTGACAGTACCAAACCCAGAGTCTTGTTTATGTTTTTTTTGGACGGCCACACTCTGCCAGTGATCAGGGCTATTCCTGGCTCAGTGCTCAGCATCCCACCTAGCAGTGCTCAGGGAACCTAATCCCAGGCTCCCCACATGTGCTCAGGGCATTGCAGACTGTTCATGAGTCTGGTTTGTCACACTCAGTTCCCAGTACAGAGCTGGCACATAGTAGATACTCAATTAAAGATTCACTAGCTGGCTGCACAGACAGTACAGGGGTTAAAGTGCTCGCCTTGCACACAGCTGACACTTGTCCCACCCCCCGCACTGCATGGCTCCCTGAGCATCATTGGGAGCACAGAGCCAGGAGCAGTCTCTGAACATCACCGGGTGTGGCTCAAACCCTCCACCCAGTGCCCCTGAAAAGATTTGGTGAGTGAACAGCCTGGAATGAAATCCAGTTTTTTTTGGCTCCTGGTTGATTGCTCCTGGCACTGTCCCATAGATTACTCTGAGCAGGATGTGCTGCTGAGGTGTTCAGTGCAGGGCAGTGTAGGACACAGACTCTGCCTGGTACCCAGTGCCCTGGTACTAGTCTGGGCTCTGTGGGGCCAGTTGAGCTCTCTAAGCCTTGGCTTCCTGGTGGTCAAAGAGAAAACTCTGGGGAGGGAGAGATGGTACAGAAGGGAAGGCCCCTGCCTTGCACACCAGGGGCAGCCCAGGCTTGATTCCTGGCCCTCCAGGGGTGATCTCTGAGCACAGACACATGACTAAGGCCTGAGTACCGCCAGGCATGGCCCCAAGACCAAGAATAAACCAACAAAATTAATCCAACAGGGGGCTGGAGCGATAGCACAGTGGGTAGGGCATTTGCTTTGCACACGGCCGACCCGGGTTTGATTCCCAGCATTACATATGGTCCCCTGAGCACTGCCAGAAGTAATTCCTGAGTACAGAGCCAGGAATAACCCCTATGCATCGCCAGATGTGACCCCAAAATTAACCCAACTGGAGACCAGAGGGATAGTGCAGTGGATTTGTCTTACATACACCTATACCCACCTGGGTTCGATTCCCAGCAACCCGTACAGTCCCCTGAGCCCTCCATACTAAGCCCTGAGCACCACTAGGTGTGGCCCACCCAAACAAAACCAAACAAAAAATGAGCATGGCTCACAGACAAGGAACACGCAGGTCCTAAAAGTAAAGAGCTCTTGCCCTCCACAGGGGCCAGCTGGGATTAAAGTGCTCGCTTGGTCGGCCTCCCTCTCTTCTCTGGGGTAGGGGCGTGAGTCTGGGGTCACCCCCTGGCATGCTCAGGGCCAATCCCTGGCTCCATACTCAGGGGACTCTATGCAGTGCTGGTAGCGATAGCACAGCGGGTAGGGCGTTCGCCTTACACGTGGCCAACATGGCCGACCCGAGTTCGATTCCTCCGCCCCTCTCGGAGAGCCCAGCAAGCTACCGAGAGTATTCGATATGCCAGACACAGTAACAACAAAGTCTCCAATGGAGACGTTACTGGGCCCGCTCGAGCAAATCGACGATCAACGGGAGGGCCTTTACCTTTTACCTTTACCTGCCGCATGCTAGGCAAATCTTTGGGCCCCTATCACCCAGAAAAAAATCACCAGTGCCTCGCTAGAAATCAGCCTTCCTTGAGCTCCTGGGACGCAGAAAGTGTCCCCAGCTGTGCCCACGGCTCCAAGCACCTCCTGAGTGGTTCCAATCCCGCCCACTTCGAGAAGCAATGGTCAGAAAGGGCTGGGGGCAGCAGAGCCGGTCAGAGGGCCTGACTACCAGGACTGGCCGGACGCATCTCCCCTCCACCGACCCCCCGCCCTCCCTGTGGCCTCACCTGGTGTGGGCGCCTTCTCCGTCTTGCCCTTCCACACGGCAGCATAGCCGTCCTCGTGCTTGTTGAATGCCACCAGCTTCACTTCATACAGCTGGCCGGGCACTGTGGAGGGTCACAGGGGCCTGGGGTCACCCTACTCCCCACCCCTAGGACACCTCTCCATGTCCCACCAGCTCATTCAGCTGGTTTTTTTTTTTGTTTGTTTGCTTGGAGGCTACACCCAGTGGTACTCAGGGGTTACTCCTGGCTCTGTGCTCAGGCATCATTCCTGGTGGTGCTCAGGGGCCAGGGAGAAAACCTGGGCAGGCCGTGTGCAAGGCAAATGCCCACATTCTGCGCTGCTGTTCCACCCCCTGCCCAGGCCTCCTCACCCAGCTGGGTCAGCTCGTACTGCTTCACTTTCTTCTTGAGCCTCACAGGCCCCACATCCCACGCCTGGTCCTGGCGGCCCCCAGGGGCACTCTCCCCGTTGGCTTCCTCTTCAGGATCTACTTCCCGCCAGTAGAGTTTGTAGCCAGAGATCTGGGCGGGGTGTGGGGGTGGCTGCCACGACACCACCAGGGACTCCATCCTTGCCCGGACCTTCAGCTCTGCAGGAGCAAATGGGACTGGGGCAGAGAGGGTCAGGGGGAGGAGGAGGAAGGAGGAGGCGGAGGAGGAGGAGAAGGAGGAGGCGGAGGAGGAGGAGGAGGAGGCAGAGGAGGAGGAGGAGGAGGAAGAGGAGAGAAAGGAGGAGGAGGAAGAGGAGGTAGAGGAGGGGGAGAAGGAGGAGGAGTGGAGGAGGAGAAGGAGGGGGAGGAGGAGGAGGAGGAAGAGGAGGTGGAGGAGAAGAGAAGGAGAAGGAGGAGAGGGAAAAGGAGGAAGAGGAGGAGGAGGAGGAGGAAGAGGAGGAGGAGGAAGAGGAAGAGGAGGAGGAGGAAGAGGAGGAGGAGGAGGAGGAAGAGGAGGAGGAAGAGGAGGAGGAGGAGGAAGAGGAGGAGAAAGAGGAGGAGGAAGAGGAGAAGAGGGAGGAGAAGAGGAGGAGAAAAAGGAAGAGAGGAGGAGGAAGAGGAGGAGGAGGAGGAGGAAGAGGAGGAAGAGAAGGAGGAGGAGGAAGAGGAGGTAGAGGAGGGGGAGAAGGAGGAGGAGTGGAGGAGGAGAAGGAGGGGGAGGAGGAGGAGGAGCAAGAGGTGGTGGAGGAGAAGAGAAGGAGAAGGAGGAGAGGGAAAAGAAGGAGGAAGAGGAGGAGGAGGAGGAAGAGGAGGAAGAGAAGGAGGAGGAGGAAGAGGAGGTAGAGGAGGGGGAGAAGGAGGAGGAGTGGAGGAGGAGAAGGAGGGGGAGGAGGAGGAGGAGCAAGAGGTGGTGGAGGAGAAGAGAAGGAGAAGGAGGAGAGGGAAAAGAAGGAGGAAGAGGAGGAGGAGGAGGAAGAGGAGGAGGAGGAAGAGGAGGAAGAGAAGGAGGAGGAGGAAGAGGAGGTAGAGGAAGGGGAGAAGGAGGAGGAGTGGAGGAGGAGAAGGAGGGGGAGGAGGAGGAGGAGGAAGAGGAGGTGGAGGAGAAGAGAAGGAGAAGGAGGAGAGGGAAAAGAAGGAGGAAGAGGAGGAGGAGGAGGAAGAGGAGGAGAAAGAGGAGGAGGAAGAGGAGAAGAGGGAGGAGGAGAGGAGGAGAAGGAAGAGAGGAGGAGGAAGAGGAAGAGGAGGAGGAAGAGGAGGAGGAGGAGGAGGAAGAAGGAGGAGGAAGAGGAGGAGGAAGAGGAGGAGGAGGAGGAGGAAGAGGAGGAGGAAGAGGAGGAGGAAGAGGAGGAGGAAGAGGAGAAGAGGGAGGAGGAGAGGAGGAGGAGGAAGAGGAGGAGGAAGAGGAGGAGGAGGAGGAGGAAGAGGAGGAGGAGGGGAGGAGGAGGAAGAGGAGAAGAGGGAGGAGGAGAGGAGGAGAAGGAAGAGAGGAGGAAGAGGAGGAGGAGGAGGAGGAGGAGGAGGAGGGAGGAGGAGGAGAGGAGAAGAGGGAGGAGAGGAGGAGGAGAGGAGGAGAGAGGAGGAGGAGGAAGAGGAGGAGGAAGAGGAGGAGGAAGAGGAGGAGGGGGACAGGAGCAGGACAGGGAGGAGAGCAGGATTGAAGAGGTGACAGCCAGCAGGATCAGGAAAGGAGAGGAAGAGGCAGGAGGAAGCAAAGGCCAAGAGCCTGAGTAAGAGCCTGTGGCCTCCTCCAAAACACAGCCCTCAGCCAGCTCCCGGCCCTGGCCTGAACTTGCTCTAGATTGGACCTCAAGTGGGTATACAGAACGCACCGAGAGCTCCTGAGCAAGAGCAACAAGGTAAGCAAGCAGCTGCAGGGAAGGGCCCCGCACCTGGCACAGAACAGGGCTGTGGCCTCTGGAAGGGGCATGTGGGTACTGGCCAGCCAGGGAGGAAGACTGGGTGACTCGGTGACAGTGCTTTGGGCACAGGGTCCTATGCACAGAGATGACTGTATGCAGATCCTATTTCCACAAGCCTAGAGCACAATGTTAACATTATTGACCCCATTTAAAACTTAGAAAAACTGAGGCTCAGAGAAAGGCAGACCAGGATCACAGAGACAGCACATGAGGCAGATTTTGTTTCAGGTTTTGTTTTGGGGGACATGGCTGATGGTGCGGGGATGAAACGGGACAAATGCCTTAAACACTATCCTATCGCTCTAGCCCCAAAGATTTTGCTGTGTTCGTTTGGGTTCAGAGCTTATAACCAGGGCCTCCAGCCATTGGCTGTGGTGCTCCGGTTCACATTTGAGCCCTTCACCATGACCCACAAAGCCACAGTCACAGTTATGGAAGCAGCTGGCGTGGAACAAGGCACTTTTTGTCGAATACTACCTTCTCCCTACACCAGGCTCACGGCTGCAGGAAATTAAGTCTGAGGGTCAGGTAGAGGGGGCACTGGAGTCCAGGGGCTTCTTCCTGGCCAGCCTCTCTGCCCACCCCCATCACCCACAGTGCATGCAGGGTGTTTAGACGCGGGCATTTGGGCCTGAGTGACCTGAACCCCATAGGGCCCCCTGGGCCATTCATCCAGGCTCCTCACCCAGGCTCTGGTTGTGCCCACTGGGTGTCCGGTGCTCTGTCCACTGCGAGGAAGCCCCGTAGCCAGCACCGGTGCTGGCTGAAATGCGGACTCGGTACCCCTTGTTGGGCTGCAGTGAGGTCAGAGTCAGCTGCGTCTCATTGCCAGGGACCTCGGTGGAGAAGATCTGGTCTGCGGGGACACGGGAACGGGCTGTGGGGGTCCCGAAACCGCTCTAGCGACCCACCCCACTCGAGTCCTGGCTCCTCAGTGTCCCCAGAGCCGGAGGCCCTGCACAGCCCTGGCTGAGAGGTGCTGGACTCCAGGGCCATTGGCCCGCTCTTCTCTCTCCTCACCCCCGCATGCCAGGAAAGATGCAAGCACAGGGCTTAGCAGAGAAGGTTGTGGGGTGTCACGTCTTCCAGAGCCCTGAACGCCCCATGCCTCTGGCTTCCGCCTCCCCACTTCCAGCCTTCTCCGAAATCCTCACCCGGCTCAAAACCCTTCTCTGGGCTACCAACATCTCTCCCACGCCCTCCCCCACGCCCCATTTCCCAAGTCCCACAAGCATCCGTTCCTCCCTCCACTTCCACAACCTGAAGGGCCTCCAGGGTGAACAAAGCTAGAAAGGTGGAAACCGAGGCATGAACTCAACAGGCCACCGCAGCCTCCCCTACGGGCGTGTCCAGTTTGCCGAGCCTCCCTTTCTCAAGGATGATCCCTAGCCAGGGAGATGGCCCACTCACCTTCCTTTCCCAAACCGTACTCGATCTTGTACTTCACCACCTGCCCATGGCTCAGGTCCGGGGGCAGGGGCAGCCACGCCACCCTGATGTCCGAGGGGTTGGGGCTGGACAAGGACAGCTGGGGGGCTGCACTGGGGACTGAGACAGGAGAAGCGCGTGAGCTCGGCTCCACCCACGTGGGAGGTGGGACCAATGAGCTCGGCTCCACCCACCGCGGGAGGCGGGACCAGTGAGCTCGGCTCCACCCATGTGGGAGGCGGGACCAGCAAACTCAGCTCCACCCACCGTAGGAGGCGGGACCAGTGAGCTCGGCTCCACCCACCGTGGGAGGTGGGGCTGGACGAGCTAGACTATAGTCACAGTTGTCATAAGAGGCTTCAGAAGGGCTAAGGGAGGAATGGGAGCTTCTCCAGGACCCCCAAATTGGAGATGAGAAAATGAAGTGGGGTCTAGTCTTCCACATCCAGGGATTACCGTCACTGGCCTTTGCCTGACCTGATGGGACAGGGCTGTCAGGAGGAAGGGCCATTTGACACAGGGAGCAGGAGTCGCTGCTGGACGACTGACCATGGGCGAGTTACTCTTATTTTCCTGGGCTTCAGTCTCACCTGCCAAGTTGGGAAGTGCCCTTGTCCCCTCTTACAGGGCACAGAGATGGCAAGAAGCCGGGAAAGAGCCAGAGCCAACACTTGCAGAGGTGGGTTAATCTCCCCCCACCCCAGGGGTTCTCTGGGCCCTACCATCGTCCAGCGTGTGGACCAGCGCGGGGCTGGAGGTGCGGCTGGCCCCCAGTTGGGAGTAGGCCACCACATAGAACTCATAGTCCGTGTTGGGTTCCAGGTCCCGAACCTGCAGTTCTGTCGTGTCATTGTTCACTGCGAACTGGTACTCCACATTGTCCACCCCTGTGGCAGAGGACAGAGACAGTCGACATGGGTCCAACCAGGAGCCCGATCCATTGCTGGGTGTCCCGGAACCCTTCCTACTGTTCCACCCTGGGACAGTTCTTCTATTTGCTTGAGCATCTCAAGTCATCTGAGCCCGAGAGTGGAAGCTGCCCCACCCACTTCTAGACTCATTTTAATTTCTCTGCTACAAGAAAGCTTCTGGTGCAGTGACTCCTGTCACAGTTAAAATCACTGACATTGTACTATCACTCGGGTTCCAGGGCAATGAGTAGGTGTTTGCCTTACATGCAGCAAACCCAGGTTTGCTCTCTGGCATCCTGTATGGTCCCCTGAGCACCACAGGAGTGATCTCTGAGCAGTGTCAGGAGTAAGGCTCGAAGACAACATGTATGGAGCCCCTCCACCAAAAAAAAAAAAAAAAAAAGGGCTAGGGCCACTATGTGACTTGGTGCAATTGCCTTGCACATGTGCTATCTGGGGTTCCATCCGGATCCCTGGCTTCAGGTGTTAAGGTACTCTCCATGGAAGAAGTAACCTCTCTTCTCAAATCAAGCTGCCTCTACGGTGGTGGGTTAATCCCCAGCACCCCATATGGTTAGGATTAATCCCTAAGCACCACCAGGTGTGGTCCCCAAACAAAACAAACCATCTTGGGGAGTCTGCTTTGCATGCGGTAAACCTGGATTCCATTTACCAACGCCCCATATGATCCCCGGAGCTTGCCAGGACTGATCCCTGCGCATAGCTGGGTGTGCCCCCCACCCCTTCAACCTCCAAATTAAGTATCAAAACGGACGTGAGGGGAAGAGACTGTCACACGTTGCCTCACTAGCACCAGCCACCCCACCCTGTCTCCTCCTCCGGGGCTCCCACGCCCGTGCTCTCCTCCTAGCCTCCCCACCACTGTTTTTCTGGGGCTCCTGATTCCCGCCCGACGACGTACCCCGGGCCTTCTGGTAGTGGAGGGAGAAACCGATGACCTGCTCGCTGTGCAGCTCGGGTCGTTCCCAGGCCACCCGCACGGAGGAGCTGCTCAGAGCCGTGGCCGTGACCCGCGTGGGCGCGCTGGGCAGCCCCTCGCGCACCACCACGTTCAGCGGGGCGGCGGCGCACGCCGTGCCCGCGCTGTTCTCGGCCACGCACTGGTAGTAGCCGGCGTCCTGCAGGCCGATCTGGGTGATGACCAGGCTGCCGCCGCCACCCTGCACCTTGACGCGCCCGTTGGGCCTCAGCGGCTCCCCGTCGTGCAGCCACCGGAGCGCGGGCCGCGGCTCCCCGGACGCGCGGCACACGAAGCGCGCGGTGCTCGCCCGCGTGCGGGACAGCGCCTCCGGCGCCTGCGAGATGGCCGGGGCCGCTGCGGGCAAGAGGGGACGCTGAGCCGAGCGGGCTGCGGGGACGCCACCCTCCCCGCCCCTCCAAACAGATGCACAGGCGCCCCCACATCCCTCCCACCCACTCCGGCCAGCTCCGCGCTCCCCCAGAGCAGGGTAGCACGCCCTTCCCGCCCTTCCCTCCTATGCCCTCCTGCCCAGCCCTCTCCCCTCCCGGATCCCCGCCTGCCACGCCCTCTCCCTCACCCACATCCCCTCTCACCCCTCCCTGTCCCCCTCCACATCCCCTCCTGCCCTGCCCTCTCCCCCCACACCCCTCCCACCCCGCCCTCTTTCCACCTCCCCTCCCGCCCCTCCCTCTCCCCCCACACCTCTCCCGCCCCTCCCTCTCCCCCCACACCCCTCCCAACCCGCCCTCTTTCCACCTCCCTCCCGCCCCTCCCTCTCCCCCATATCCCCGCCCCCCCATCAACTCCCGAACCCCCCATCCTCATGCACCCCCCGCGGTGTAACCCTACCCCCAACGACTTCCAAACCCTTCAGGGTCCCCCCCCACATCTCTCACGTGGGTCTGTCTTTGCATTTAGCGCAGTCCCCGGGGCGGGGCGCTTTTCTTACACACACCCACAGCCTCTATCCAACTGTCCCAAACTCCAGTCCCACCTCCCCGCACTCCTGAGTCCCTCCCATCACCGCCCAGTCCCCCCAGCCCGCTGATCACCTCTTGGGCTCATCTCCCCAGCTCCAGCCCTTGGGCGCCCGCAAGTCTCCCCCACTCGCCCCCCCCCCCACACACACACCCGTGCCCCCGATCCCGGACCCTGGCGGCTCACCCAGCACGCGGAGCTCCGCGGCCGCCGCAGCGAAGTGGCGCGTGCGGGGCTTGTTGGCGCGACACACGTACACGCCCGAGTGCTCGGGCTGCGCGCTGCGGATGAGCAGGTTGGTGCGGCCCAGCACGATGACATCCGTGGCGATGGGCTTACCGTCTGCGGGACGAGAGCGAGAGCGCGCTGGGGTCGCTGCGGCTGCCGGGACCCTCGGCTAACACTCCAGGAGGGAGAAAACAATCCTTTCCCCGTTAATCTTTTAGAAACCCTGCACTGTAAAGGGAGGGGGTGCAGCTGACCCAGGCTGTATCCCCCACAACAGATGGTCCCTTGGGCCCCGCCAAGAATGATACCTGAGCAGTCCGGAGCAAGACCTGAGCACCGCTGCATGTGGTCCCCAAGTCCAAATAAATAAGTGACAGAACATCAAGCAGTAATTAAAATCAAGCAGTAATTACTATTAAGTAGGAATTAAAATAATTTTTTGAAAGAAAGCAGGGGAACCTACTGTTGAATGAACTAGTACTTGGGACTCTAAATGCAGAATTCCTACAGCATATGTGTAAGATGACCTGGAAGAAAATATGCTCAAATGTTAACTGTTTCAGTCTGTATGGTGACAGGCTTGCTTGCTTGCTTTCTTTCTTGCTTTCTTTCTTCTCTCTTTCTTTCTTTCTTTCTTTCTTTCTTTCTTTCTTTCTTACCACAAGCATATGCGATGAAAACATGTAGACAAACAAGCTGTGCTCCTTCCTGACTTGAAGGTAAGTTCCTGGGAACCAAAGTCCTGTGTTGGGTTCCATCCCCAAATCCCAAACGGTCCCCGGAGCACTGCCAGGAGTGATTCCTAAGTTCAGAGCCAGGAGTAACCCCTGAGCACTGTCACTGTCTGCTGTGGTCCAAAAGCAAAAGCAAAAGCAAAAGCAAAAGAGCGAGGAGAGAGAGAGAGATTGAGAGAGAGAGAGAGAGAGAGAGATTGAGAGAGAGAGAGAGAGAGAGAGAGAGAGAGAGAGAGAGAGGCAGGCAAGAAATGAAATGAAGGGGGCTGGAGCAATAGCAGAGCAGGTAGGGCATTTGCCTTGCACATGGTTGACCTGGGTTCGATTCCCAGCATCCCATATTGTCCCCTGAGCACTGCCAAGAATGATTCCTAAGTGCAGAGCCAGGAGTAACCCCTGTGCAACGCCGAGTGTGACCCAAAAGGCAGAAAAAAAAATGAAATGAAATGTAGTTCTGGGACCACATCGATTGTACAGCAAGGAGGGGCAGTTGCCTTGCATGACTCAAGCACCAAATATGGATCCCCAAGCCCTGCCAGAAGTGACCCCTGAGCACAGAGCCAGGACTAAGCCCTCAGCACTCCTGGGTGTGGTCCAAACCCAAAAAAGAAATGAAGTTCTCTCCTCCCCATGTACCCACGAGCACTATTGGTTTCTCCAAGTGAGTTCTCAGAACCTCAGGGGTCAGCAGTTCTCAAATTCTTACTGTGCACACAACTTTTCCTGAGATGTGGGGCCTAGGACAGACCCCTGTTAGGGCACCCCCCCTCTATTTTGTTGTTGTTTGTGGGTTTGGAGCCACAAAAACCCAAAATCGATGGGTGCATTGGTGCTCAGGATTTAGTCCTGGCTCTGTACTCAGGGATCATTCCTGGTGGAACTCAGACTATATGGGATGCTGGAGACTTAACTTGGGTCAGCTGCAAGGCAAGTGTCCTCCCACACAGTACCTTATTCCCTGTACTATCTCCCTCATTCTATATTTCTTGGGGTTCTGTTTCTTTATTTGATTTTGGGACCAATCCTGACTCTGCACACAGGAATGTTTCCTGGGGTTCCCAGAGGACCATCTGTGATGCCAGGGATTCAGACTACAGTTGGTGGGATACAGGGCAGGTGCCTCAACCCTGTAGACCAGCTTCCCTCCCCCACCCCCACAACCCCTGCCATCTGTATTTTGTTTTGTTTTGTTTTGACCCAAACCCAACTATGATCAGGACATACTCCTGGCTCTGTGCTCTGCCATGACTGGCAGAGGCGGGGCATGGGACCCTATGGCACGTGGGGGATTGAACCCAGATTGTCTGGATGCAAGGTCTTCCCCGCTATGCTAGCTCTGGCCCCACCATTCTGCATTTCTCACTGGCTTGCAGAGTGGGTCTAGAGTCACTTCCGAGCTCGGCAGGGCGCTTGCTGCCTGCTTCCTGCAGCAAGAAGGGCAGCCTACAGTTCTATACTCTCCCGATCATCCAGAGGCATGGCTAGGATCAGAAACATTGACAGCAGAACAGAATGGTGTCTGGGTGACACCATGGCCCAAGAACAGGACAAGTGACCCTCTAACCAGGCAAGTGTCCCATATGCAAGGAGATGGCGTCAACTGGGAGACTCAGAGAACAGGACCTGGACTCTATCAGCGCGTGGCGGGCACCAGCTGCTGGGTCCAATTCTTTTGTTTATTTATTGGTTTTGGGGTCACACCCGGCGATGCACAGGGGTTACTCCTGGCTCTGCACTCAGGAATTACTCCTGGCAGTGCTCAAGGGACCATATGGAAAGCTGGGAATTGAACTCAGGTCGGCCACATGCAAGGCAAACGCCCTACCATTGTGCTGTTGCTCCAGCCCCATTTATTATTTTTTTCAATCACATCCAGCTGTGTTCAGGGATTACCTCTGGATCTGCAATCAGGGGCCACTCCAGGGCTTGGGACCCCATGGGGTGCTGGGGGTGGAACCCAGGTTGGCCACGTGCAAGGCCAGCACCTCCCCGCTGTGCTGTCTCTTTGGCCCCAGGACTCTATTACTTTCCTCTGACATCTCAGTGCTCCCCAGACACCCTGCACTGAGAAATACTGGGTATCAAGGCTCCCCTTGAGCCTTGTGTGGCTGGGAAATAAACTGAGCCAGGAAGAGGGTAGAGAAAGTCGGGCTTGGAGCCGGAGGACAGTCCCGGGAGTGAGGCCTTGTAGGCATCTGACCCAAATTCAAGCCCCACCAGGAATGAGAACTTAGCATAGCCAGGTGTGGTCACCCCCAAAGAGAGGTGGATTTAAGACTAACTTGGGAAAACACTCAGGTGCAGGAGGTGGTGTTGGAACACTGTATGTGTGTAACCCTATCATTAACAATATTGCAAATCATGGTGTTTCAAGTTAAAAATAATAAAATAAATTGGGGCCATTAAGAGGTTTGCCTTGTACACAGTTGAGCCGGGTTCAATCCCTGACACCCTATATGATTCCCCGAGCACCACCAGGAATAAATCCTGAATGCAGAGCCAGGAGTAACTCCTGAGTAACGCCTGTTGTGGCCCCCCCACAAAAAATAATAATAAAATAATAAAATAAAGACTAATAATAATAAAATAAATAAAGACTAACTCCGACCACCAACTTGGGATGTTACATTTTGCTGTTGCTGTTGAGGTCAGTTGTTGCTATTATTGTGGGGACCATTGCCAGGGTTGTTCCAGACACTTTGGGTGACCTGTGAAGCGAGCACAGGTTATAGCCAGTACCAGCCATGTTCTCTTCCACTTGACCTTCACCTTGGTGGGTACCCCTGCCCCCCACAAGCGATAGTCCTTTGCTTTTTTGTTGTTTGGTTTTTGGACCACACCCGGTGATGCTCAGGGGTTATTCTTGGCTCTGCATTCAGGAATCACTCATGGCCATGTGGGATGCCGGGGATCAAACCTGGGTCAGCCACGTTCAAGGTCAGTGCCCTACAGGCTGTACTATCTTTCTGGCCCCAGTAGTCCTTGGCTTTTCTTCCAAACAGGATGGGAAAGAGGAGTGCAAGTGTGGGTGACTCCCCATCTGCCGATCTGGGCCTCTGTCTCACCTGCCCATTGGGAAGAGCAGCTGTGGTCCCACCTGCCCTGCCCCAGGTACTTGTGGTGAAGGGGAGCGTAGGGGGGGGGGTTGGGCATTAGGTCCAGCACGGTTGTCCTGCCAGCGTGTCCCATACTACCATCAGTCCAGTACTGACCTGCTTCCTGGTACTGGGGACCTCTGGGAGCTGCACATCCCCGCCCCTCGCCCCCTTCATCCCCCCCCCACACACACACATGAGGGCAGCAGCTTCGAGGGGCAGTGACCACGGACCACCCTCCCGTCCATCCACTTACCCTGCCGGACCCAGGAAACGAAGGGGGTGGGGTGAGCCGAGGCCACGCACTCCAGCACCACACTTTGGCCGGACACCACCGTGGTGTTCTCGGGGGCGGCCAAGATGACCACGTCCTGCCCCCTGGTGGACACAGGGGGCCCTGCAGAGAGGGCATGCGGAGGGAGCCTTACCTTGGGTCACCTTCCCGAGAGCCTCGCTGGGCACTGACCCTCAGGTGGGCTTCTGCAGAGGTCAGCAGAGCCCCGGCACACCTTTGGCCAGCCCTCCCTCCCAGGGTTTGGCGCCCGTACTGGGAATCAAGCCTGCCACGGCCGTGCCGTGTGACCGTGGGCAGTCCCGCTGCACCGCCCTCGGGTGGGCAAGACGGCGCGGCGCTTCGCTGTTGGCCAGCCGGGTCGCGCGGTGCGTCCCCCGTTTGACCAGCAGGTGGCGGCAGACGCCCCGGGCAGGAGCGGGAGCGCATGGGGAGGGCTGCGGGGGTGGAGTGGGGGGTGGGAGGGGGGCTGCCACTCCTCCTGGCGATTCTCCCTGGCTGGACACTTGATAAGGCGCCCAGGGCCACGCAGATGGTGCGTAGGGAGGGCAGACTTAAAGAAGGCCCTTCGCCTCCCCAGCGACCCACTCTGGAGCTGGTTTCTCGGGGTGTCCGGGCACAGACAGGGGCACACCCTCTTGGGGTGGGCACCGACACCCCTTCCAGAGCCTCCCCTCGCACCCCTGTCTTAGGACTGTCAGCCTGCAGAAAATAGGGACCCCCAAGTCCAAAGTCTGGGGTTTAGGGCCCGCGGGTGGCCCTGTTCTCCCAGCTGGGCCATCCTCTGCCCTGCCACATTTTTTTTTGAGGGGGGCACACCCAATGGAGCTTAGCAGCAGGGGTCACTTCTGTCTCTGTGCTCACTTGAGAGGATCCTCTAGGGTGCTGCGGGGTGGAACCTGAGTGGGGCAGCACCACGTTGCCCTGCTGTGCTCTCGTGGCCTTCCCATCACCTATCTGAGGGCCCCGCCCCCAGGACTGACTCACTCCCCAAGCCCTTGGACTCCCCGTTGGCCAGCCGCCACCTCACCTCCGAGGGTCACCTCAAGCGAGGCCTCCTGGCTGAAGTGCTGGCCGGCTGAATTGGTGGCCACGCATCGGTAGGCACCCGCGTCGCGCTCCTGAACGTCCAGGATCTGGAGGACCCCGTTGGGGAGAGTGATGAATCTTGGGAAGGGGAGAGGGTGCCTGTGAGGGGGGCAGGAGCCCACAGAGGGCTGTGTGTCCCCCTCCCCCCTCCCGTCCTGAAGTACTTGGCAGCGGTTCACTGCCAGGTGCCCAAAGATCCAGCAGCGCCCATGTGGACGGAGGGAGTCCACCCTCAAAACCAAGCTGGTAGTGGGGCGGGCTGGAGTGGTAGCACAATGGGGAGGGTGTTTGCCTTGCAATGCGGCTGATCCGGGTTCGGTTCCTGGCACCCCATATAGCCCCAGAGCCCAGGCGGGAATGATCTCTGAGACTGGCATGATGGGGTTGAGATCTGAGGTCGGGAAAACGATACACATGGAATTTGATCATGGCTGATTGTAAATGTCAATAAAAAAATATTAAAACAACAACAACAACAACAAAAAACAAAGTCAAGCAAAAACAAAGTCAAGCCGGTGGTAACTCAGCCCTGCGTGTGCCTTATGAGTCCTTGACACCCCTCAGGCCCTGTCCCCCACATGTCCTCACACATGTACCCAGTGCTGGGTGGGAAAAATGGAGAAACACCCCAAGGCTGTTTATTTGTAACAAAGACCCTAGTGGCCTTGTAGGGGAGCCAGTGAACTCCCACAGTGGCTGCTGGGCGCTGTTTAAAGGGCAGTGTGGCGTGCACAGATGGTCCGTCGGTCTGTTTGTATTAACCCTTTGGTAGGGGCCAGAGAGACAGTGCAGCAGGGAAGGCAACTATCTTGCATGTGGCTGAACCGGGTTTAATCCTCGGCACCACTTATGATCCCTGAGTCCTGCCAGGAGTGATGTCTGAGCACAGAACTAGGAGGAAGCCCTGAGCACCAATGGGTGTGGTTGCAATCTCATAAAAAAAAAAAAAACCGGGGGCTGGAGCAATAGTACAGCAGGGAGGGTGTTTGCCTTGCATGTGGCCTAACAAGGGTCCCATCCCTGGCACAACGCCTGGAGTGAGGCCTGAACACAGAACCAAGAGTGACCCTTAAGCATCTCTGGGCATGGCCCCCAAACAACAGCAAAAACCAAAACTTAAACCTGGAACCTGGGGGTCTCAGGACATGGTGACTTCTGGCCCTGTGGTCCCTAGGGACCCCTTTGACTCCTCCCAGCACCTCCTTTCATTGTCTTTTTTTGGGGGGGGGTCACACCGGCGATGCACAGGAGTTATTCCTGGCTCATGCACTCAGGAATTACTTCTGGCAGTGCTCGGGGGATCATATGGGATGCTGGGAATTGAACACGGGTTGGCTGCATGCAAGGCAAACACCCTACCTGCTGTGCTATCACTCTAGCCCTGATGGGGCCACTTCTAATGCTTACTTCAAGTCTTCTCCTGGGGCCAGAGAGGACGGGCACCGTGTGGCAGGCACATGTCTGATCTGAGGGTCAGTGCCTGGCACCCCATATGGTCCTCTGAGACCTGTCAGGAGTAAGCCCTGCATGTAGCCAGGTATGGCCCAAGATCTAGAGCAGAAAAATTTTAAAAGAAATAAGATAGGGGAGGCTGGAGCAATAGCACAGCAGGAAGGGTGATTGCCTTGCAAGCGGCTGACCCGGGTTTGATTCCCAGCATCCCATATGGTCGGGCCTCGCCAGGGGTAATTCCTGAGTGCATGAGCCAGGAGTAACCCCTGTGCATCGCCGGTGACCCAAAAAGCAATATATATATATATATATATATATATATATATATATATATATATACAGGGCTGGAGCGATAGCACAGCGGTAGGGCGTTTGCCTTGCACGCAGCCAACATGGCCGACCCGAGTTCGATTCCTCCGCCCCTCTCGGAGAGCCCGGCAAGCTACCGAGAGTATCTCGCCCGCACGGCAGAGCCTGGCAAGCTCCCCGTGACGTATTCGATATGCCAGACACAGTAGCAACAAAGTCTCCAATGGAGACGTTACTGGGCCCACTCGAGCAAATCGACGAACAACGGGAGGGCCTTTACCTTTAATATATATATATATATATATATATATATATATATATATAAACAAAATAGGGACTGGAGTGACAGTACAGTGGGGAGGGCATTTTCCTTGCACACAGCCGACCTGGGTTTGATCCCCGGTATTCCATATGGTCCCCTGAGCCTGCCAGGAGTGATCCCCGAGTAAGCACTGAGCACTCCTGGGTGCCCCAAACCCACACACCTAAAAAAAAAAAAGTGTAAGTGAACAGTGATAATCCAATGACTCCATGTGGCTTCAGCACACTTTTTGTTTCTTCCCAGCACACTCTTTTAGAGGGTGTGGTGGGTGTGGGCCACACCCTGTGATACCCAGGGCTATTTCTGGCTCTGGGCTCAGGGAGCACTCCTGGCAGCGTGTGGGGATTAGGGGGTGTTGGAGCCCAAACCAGATTGGCTGTGTGCAAGACGAGTTCCCTGGGGTTCTGCTCTCTCCAGCCCCTCGTACACGCTGGGTTCCAGGGGTTGTGTTTGTTTTCATGGCACCGTCTGATTATGGGGAGGGTCCCGGTCTTCCGTGGCACCTTCTCAGTATGTGTGAAAGTTACAAAGGAGAGCTGATGTAAGAAATCTATTAAGTTAGTGACCACGGCAGTGGTCGCGGGACAGACCAAACTTATGAAGGGGTTTGGCGGATATTTGGGCTTTGGAAAACAAGAGTTTTCATTGCCCACTGGTTCCCATGGAAGGAAAGATTATCCCCTACCATTAGAAATTAGCCTGAGTAACGTCCTGAGGGTTGGCGCTTCACCCCCAGCTCTAAAACTATGCACCACCCCCACCGAGCGTGTTATTAACTGCACATGTGCAGAGCCTGCGCCATATGGTCCCGTCAGCCGCGGCTCGAGTTTATGAATAGCATATTTGTACATGTGCTATATCTGAGCATGTGTAAAAATACATACCTTGGGCAGAATCGAGTTGCTGTTTTAGACATTCCTTTATTCCCCCACCCAATGTGCAGGGGACATGTGATCCTGGCTTATTTATAGACGAGGATCACTTTTCAGAGGACTTGGGGGCAAATGCTCCCAGAGTCCAGGAAGCGGCAGTTCCTGACTCCTGGGAAAGGACCGTGACTCCACGGGGCGAGGCCTGTGCTGGAGGCTGGAACACGCAGGAGTCCTGCCATGTGCTGAGAAACTCAGGGGAGGAAACTGCTTGGAGTCCCAGGTTGATCCCAGGCAGCAGGGGGCTTCTTCAGATCCCCCGGTTTGCCCAGCACAACCACAAAATCACAGAGGGGTCAGAGGTGAAGTCCCCCTGCCCCAGCTACAAGCGCTGTGATCTGGGCAAGACCCTTCGGTCCCTGATCCGGGGTCCCCCCCTCAATCAACCACCGTCCAGCCACATCTGCCACGGCCACCTCTATAGAACACACGTAGAGACGCCCATTTGTGTAAAGGTGAAGAGTGCACACTGCAACACAAGCCTTTTTTGCTGTTGTTTTTTGGACCACAACTGCCTGTGCTCAGGAATCACTCCAGATGAGACTCAGGAGGACCATATGGGGTGTTGGGGATCAAACCTAGGTCGAATACATGCAAAACAAATGCCTTACTGGGGTTGGAGCCATAGCACAGCCGGTAGGTATTTGCCTTGCATGCGGCTGACCTGGGTTTGATTCCCAGCATGCCATATGGTCCACTAAGCACCGCCAGGAGTCATTCCTGAGTGCAGAGCCAGGAGTAACCCCTGAGCATCTCCAGGTGAGACCCAAAAAGCCAAAAAATACAAACAAAAAAACAAATGCCTTACTCACTGTTCTATCTCTACAGCCCCACAATCCCCCTTTTTTAAAATTTTTGGGTCACACCCAGCAATGCACAGGGGTCACTCCTGGCTCTACACTCAGGAATTACTCCTGGCAGTGCTCAGGGGACCATAAGGGGATGCTAGGAATTGAGCCCGGATCGGCTGCATGCAAGGCAAACGCTCTACCTGCTGTGCTATCGCTCCAGCCCCCCTACCACAACACCCGTATTTTTAATAAAAATCAAAACACAAAACAATCCTGGCAGTGCTCAGGACTGACTCTTGACTCAGACCCAGGGGTTGCTCCTGGTAGGGCTTGGAAGACCATATGTGGAGGTGGGGAATGAACCCGGTTTGGCTGTGAGCAAGGCAAGTGTCCTCCCTGCTATGCTGTCTCTCTTGCCTCAGCACCCCTTAGTTGTTTGCTACCCAGACATCCAAGAACACCTGCCCAGGGCTAAGGCAGGCCTGATGCGGGGGGATTTGGCGCTCTGTAGGGGTCAGGGCCCAGGACGGCCACCTCCACTGGAGAAGAGAGGACAACTCCAGGGCATGAATGGGGTCGAGGCATGGCGAAAAGGCCTTTGGAGTCACATTTCCAAAGATGCAAGAATCCAGGGGGTCACTGGGCTCCTCAGAGGACTCCTATGCAGATGAGCTTCTGGTGACACTTATATGTACTTCAGGGTCTGCCCAAGAGGCCACAGGGGGATCCAAGGGACTCAATTTCTCTCCCACCTTGATGAACAGGGAGCGGGTGGACAGGAATGATGTCCACCAGATGCTACTGCCCACTGGATGGGTGAGGGTCACAGAGCCCGGGCAGCTGCTCTATGTAGCAGAGAGGTGGGGGTGGGGGCTCAGGGTCTATCCTCCCACCATTTAAATTCTCCCACTTCAGATCAAACCATGTCAAAAAAAACAAAAATCAAAAAACAAAAAAAAACCTTCCCAGCGGCCTCCAGGCTTTGAGAAAACAAGGAACATTCTGCCAGTGACACTCTGAGTGGCCCTGCACAAACACAGGTCCACTCTGACCCTCTGCTCTCTCTCTGTCAAACAAGTGGTTGGGCAAGATTGCTCAGAAGGGCTGGAAGAGCGAGGGAGGACTAGGAGGGCTGGGGAGGGGCTGGGAGGGACGGAAGGGGGAGAAAGGGGGTGAAGGGGTGAGAAGGGGCTGGAAAGGCTGGGAAGGGGCTGGAAGGCTCTGGAAGGCTCTGGAAGGGGCTGGGAGGGCTGGGGAGGGGCTGGAAGGGGCTGGAAGGGTCTGGGAGGGCGCTCTCAGTCCTGCAACTCAATGGGAAGTTTGTTTTTTTTTCCCCAGGAGCAGGCACTAGCTGTGGGGTGCTCCATAGAGTCAGGAGAACGGCAGACCCCCCCCCTCAGGCCCCTGGAGCCGCCCCTCCCTTCCCAGGCACTCACCGAGGCTCCTCTGGCACTGCACCCTGGTCCTTCTCCCAGGTGATGGCTGGTTCAGGCAGCCCCTCCGTGTGGCATGAGAACCGGGCTGTCCCATTCTCCTCCACCTCCTGTGACTCCGGGTGTCGGGAGAAATCTGGGGGCGCTGGGGACAGGAGAGTGACATGTGGGTGACGGCAGGGGAGCCTGGAAGGTGTGCTGCACCAGACACACATATACAGACACATACACAGACACACACAGACACATACAGACACAAATACACACAGATACACACAGACACAGACACACACAGAAACACACACAGACACATACAGACATACACAGACACACAGACACAAACACACAGACAGACACAGACACACACATATAGACACACAGACACACACAGAAACACACACAGACACATACAGACATACACAGACACACAGACACAAACACACAGACAGACACAGACACACACATATAGACACACAGACACACACAGAAACACACACAGACATACACAGACACACAAACAGACACAAACACACAGACACACACATACAGACACACAGACATACACAGAAACACACACAGACACATACAGACACACACAGACATACACGGATACACAAACAGATACAAATACAAAGACACACAGACACGAACACAGACACACACATGGACAGACACACATACACACACACAGAACACACACAGACAGGTGCAAGCACAGCAAGTTCAAACTGAGTGAGACTCAGCTAGAGGCAGCAGGCTGGGGGCAGAGGTAGGTCCCCGGCGGCAGGGGGAGAGAGGGGGTCCCCCAGGGGAGCGGCAGTGGAAGGAGCCCCGGGTCTCTCTACTGACACCATGGCCTACTCAGAGGCCGAGAGACGCCACAGCACCAGAGTGGGGAGGGCGCTGGCTCCATACACAGCCAGCCTGGGCCCTATCCCCGGCACCCCAGATGGTCCCCCAAATCCCACCAGGAGCGATCTCTGAGCAAAGGGCCAGAAGTAAGCCCTCAGCATTGCTGGGTGTGGCCCCAAACTCCAAAGTAACAACAGATATCCCTCAAGTTCAGGAAGAACCAGGCTTCTCCTGCTGGGAAAATGCTGCTGCGGTGGTCTGTGCTCCCGAGAGCCCCCACACAGTAGCTGGACCATGGGGATAATCTCCCCTTCCCCGTGGAGGGGGCCCCGTGAGGAAGCACTTCTGTGGGTCTTTTCAGCCTCTCTGGAGGGCTTCCTGTAGGAGGAAAGTGTCTAGATTCAAAGGGAAGGAGCAGAATGGGGGTGTGGCGAGAAGAGGGGCTAGCGGGCAGTGTTGGCCCCTCCATGCAGAGGGGACTGTGACCCACTCACTGCCCACTCATGTTCCTGAGATCACTGTGGCCCCAGGGCAGCACTTACTGGCAAGCTGGACAAGCAGGGTCTGGCTGGCCACCGCTCCAACGAGGCCGTGGGCCAGACACGAGTAGCTGCCCTCGATGACCTCCGGTGCTGCCTGGTCAGTGCCATTGGGCACCGGTGGTGGGGCCAGCCACAGGGAGCCGTTGGGCAGCAGGTACAGGTGGTCGTGCTCTGGCAGGGCGCCGCCATCCTTGCTCCATGTCACGTGGGTTGGGGGGATGGCGGCAACGGTCCCCAGGCCGCAGTCCAGCACCGCGGCCTGCCCGGGGCCCAGGACCATGCGTAGTGGTCCTGCGCCACACCTCAGCTCCACCGTCATCGTCTCCTGGGGCTGCAGCAGCTCCCCTGTGTGGTGGAGAGCAAAGGGGACACAGCCATCAGGGTGCCCTGCCCCCCTCAGCCAGCCCAAACCCAGGAGACTCCCACCAACGGCTGGATTCCCCCAGGTGCTGCTCTTCTGCATGCAAGAGGTCAGCACAGGCACCAGTGCCCCCCCCCCCCCCCCACTGGACTCAGTGGCCAGGAGGCCGCGGAGTTCAGGGCACAGAGGCGAGGAGACACGACAGCCGCTGGGATAGGGGTAGTGACCGGTGACTTGTGTCGCTGAGGGGCCGAAGGGTCCCTTCCCCCTAGGAATCAGTGACGCTGCTGCACAACCTGCAAATTTTTGGAGTTTGGGGACACATCTGGTGATGCTCAGGGCTTACTACCTGGCTCTGCCCTCACAGATTACTCCCGACGGGGCTCAGGGAACCATATGGGATGCTGGGAATCAAACTTGGATTGGCCGCGTGCAAGGCAAACGCACTCCCCGCTGCAGTCTCTCCAGCCCCTGCGCACGGCTTTGAGCTGGTGAACTGGGTCTCACTAGAAAGGCCACAGGAGTCCCTTCCTACTGGACCGTGGTCGTGGGGGAAGGAGCTTCATGTGCCTGCCCTGGCCTGGAAGGGGTGGGCGCCAGCCTCTCACTTCTACTCTGGAACCTTCCAGATTGTCTCTGTCACTACACCTGACTGTAAACACACAACAGATGAGAAAAATACTGTGTCGCGAAAACAAGCAATAATTTTCAAATGTGTATTTTTGTTTGGGCTGGAGCGATAGCACAGCAAGTATAGTGTTTGCCTTGTATGCAGCCGACCTGGTCAACCCGGCTGACATGGGTTCTATTCCTCTTCCCTCTCGGAGAGCCTGGCAAGCTACTGAGATCTCACCTGCACGGCAAAGCCTGGCAAGCTCCCCATGACGTATTTGATATGCCAAACACTGTAACAAGTGTCATAATGGAGACGTTACTGGATCCGCTCTAGCAAATCGATGAACAATGGGAGGACAGTGACAGTATTTTTTATTTTGGGCTACACCTGGCGGTGCTCAGGGGTTACTCCTGGCTCTGCACTCAGGAATTACTCCTGGTAGTGCTCAAGGGCTAGAACCCGGGTTTGCTGCATGTAAGGCAAACGCCTTCCCTGCTATACTAATGCTCTGGTCCCAGTGCGTGTGATTTCAACCGGCACTTCAGCAAGGCCCTGCACTGGCTCCTCAGGGCTGTGCATTCTTCCAGCCACACCCCCCACAGGATGGCCTGTGACTTCCTTCTTATCCTGGCACCTGCTTAGGGCACAGAGGCAAGAGTGAGCGCAGGATAGCTCCTTTACGGCTGTTCCAGACTCAGGGTTCTGGGTGGCCAGGAGTCGGGGCCCCCCGAGGTGAGACTAGTTATGCAGTAGTAATAGTAGGCGACTTGGGCAGCTCACTATTGCGGAGGGCAAGGCTGTCCATGGCCGAGGGACTCTTCAGCCACGCCGCTCCCTGGACAAACACGCCCCATCACCTAGACACCCCCCCCCAAATGTGGACACTATTTTCCACACTGGAGCACCGTATTCTGGCCCTGCTTATGTGGGCCCTGTGGGCAGAGATGGTGGGGAGCAGAGAAGTTCTGACTGGCAGAAACAATGAGGTGGGGAACTGCCTCCGGGCCATATTTAAGCTAGTCACTGGCCTTGATCCAGAGACTGGGCAGTGAATCCTGGAAGACAGAGATCTCTCGGCCCGGCTTGTACTGAGCCGATTTCACCAGGACTCCCTCAGATGGGGCGGGTGTCCCTGTTCCGCCCACTCCAGATGAACCCCTAGTGGCCACAAACTTCCAGAAGAAAAACCCAGGGACCAGGGAACAGGAACTGAAGACATCAGGCCACATGACAGCGGGGACAGTTTGTCCCTTCCCGTCTCCCCGCCCCTTCGGGGTCCTGGCTTTCACATCCACGAACTGCCTCCAGGATATATTTAAGCATACCACGGGCCTTGAACCAGAGACTCCCAAGTGAATCTTGAAATGGATTAGCTCCCTACAGAGATGTCTCTGAACCCCAACCATTTAAAATTTTAGAATTTCAAGAGCCTGCTGCCGTTTTTGCGACCTTGTGACCTCTTATGATATTCATAATAAGCAATAAAAAATAAATTATCTTAGTATCTGCCTGTGGCTGCAGGCTTGAATGGTGGTGGGAAAATTCAAAATAATGGAGGTGGAAAGGTGTAATGGTGGTGGGATTGGTGTTGAAATATTGAATGTAAACAACTATTGTGAACAACCTCATGAAAATAAAATTTATTTAGCTATTTATTTTGGGGGGGCTGGAGCGATAGCACAGTGGGTAGGGCATTTGCCTTGCACACGCCCGACCCAGGTTCGATTCCTCTGTCCCTCTTGGAGAGTCCGGCAAGCTACTGAGAGTATCTTGCCCACACGGTAAAGCCTGGCAAGCTACTCATGACGTATTCAATACACCAAAAACAGTAACAACAAGTCTAACAACTGAGACGTTACTGGTGCCCATTTGAGCAAATCAATGAACAATGGGAGGACAGTGCTACAGTGCTATTTATTTTTTGCTTTTTGGGTCACAACTGGCGATGCTACTGAGAGTATCTCGCCCACACGGTAAAGCCTGGCAAGCTACCCATGATGTATTCAATATGCCAAACACAGTAACAACAAGTCTCACAATGGAGACGTTACTGGGTCCGCTGGAGCAAATCGATGAACAAGGGGAGGACAGTGCTACAGTGCTACCCGGCGATGCACAGGGGTGATTCCTGGCTCTGAACTTGGGAATTACTCCTGACGGTGCTCGGGGGACCACATGGGATACTGGGAATCAAACCCAGGTCAGTCGCATGCAAGGCAAAAACGCCCTACCCTCTGTGCTATTGCTCTAGCCCCATGAAAATAAAATTTAAAAATTAAAAAAAAATGAGGAGGTTGGGGCCAAAGATGGACAGAAGGGCCTACTGACAGACAGGGCCCCAGCCACTGTCTTTCCTGGTTCCTCAGGTGACCTCTGCTGGCCCGTCCAGCAGCATTACTGGCTCAGCAGAGTTAGCTGGACATGAAGTCAGCCCTTGCGCCTGCCACGTTCCCCTCTCACTGGGGACCCCTGGACACCGCAGGCCCCAGGCTGGGCGGGACACAGCCTTCGGCCTTGGGGCGATCAAGGCTCAGGGAATCCTCCAGCCAAGATCTGGGCCTCTGTTTCCACGAATGAAATGAAGGTGATAAAACGCTCCAATAAGCACCACGGGCGATGACTCAACCTAGGGGCTCCCCCTTCAAGGCTCTTCGGGGCCCGCCCAGGGCTGCCCAGAGACTGATCTCCTCCCTGCCGCCACTCGGGCGTCCCCTCGGCCTCCCAGGCCTTTACCAGGCTCTGGGCCCAGCTGCTCCAGCCCTGAGCAGTGCGGTTGGGTTTCAGGAGCAAGAGGCCCTGGGGACAAGAACCCCTGAGCCCTCTGGCCGGCGCCTCCCCCACCTCCACCCCTTCCAGCCCCCAAAGCAAGTCCAGAGCTTGGAAAATCCCCTGCCTGGGAACAATGTGAGCAGTTGGGGCTGGAGCAGCTGCTGGGCATGTCAGCAGCCGGGCAGGACGCAGGCCAGAGGGGCCGCTGGCCCAGGCGCCCAGGAGGCTCAGCTCCCTCCTGAATATTCATGGCCCAGCAGATGTCCACCTTCCCCAGCACCAACAGGGCGGGGAGCAGGGAACTGGGGGTGGGGGGCGCGGGAGAGGGAGAAAGCACTGTGTCGGTTTACAAAGGGAGAAATGGATGCCCAGAGGGGCTCCTCTTTGGAAGACAGTCTGGGGAATCGCCCTTTCACCTCCTAGGGATAAACCGTGCATTAAAGAGACCACTGAGGGGCTGGAGTGATAGTGCAGCCGGTAGGGCGTTTGCCTTGCATGCGGCCGACCCGGGTTCGATTCCCAGCATCCCATAGGGTCCCCCAAGCACCACCAGGAGTAATTCCTGAGTTCAGAGCCAGGAGTATCACCCTGAGCATCGCTGTGTGTGAACATGCCCCTCCAGAAAAAAAAAAAAAGAGAGACCACTGCTCCCTGGGAAATGATTCTCCCTGCCCAAGGTCCCCCCTTCTGGGGTTCTACTGTGGGGGGGGGGGTGAGGAGGGGGGCTGGGAACCTTCTTCCCACATATGTCCAGAGACAATTGCAGGTCCCTTGCCGATGTCCCCTCTGCACCACACCAGAGGTGTGGCCGGAGTCAGAATCCTGGGACCTCCGCATGCCCATTATTTTTTGTTTTGTTTTGTTTTGGGTGACACCCAGCAGTTTTCAGGGGTTACTCCTGGCTCTGCACTCAGGAATTATTCCTGGCAGGGCTCAGGGGACCTCATGGGATGCCAGGGATTGAACCTGGGTTGGCCGCGTGTAAGGCAGGTGCCCTCCCCATTGTATTATAGCTCCAGCCTCAGTGTGTCTATTTTAAGATGAAGGGTCAGCCCCATTCTCAGACTTTGTCCCCAGAAGGGCCCCACCAGGGTCCGAGAGAGCAAGTACAGCAGGGAAAGCCCCTGACACTGCATAGGAACAGTCCCTGAGCACAGAGCCAGGAGTCAGCCCTGAGCATGGATAGATGTGCCCCCACCCCCAAACCAACATTAACAAATAAGTTTTCTCAGCTCAGGTGCTCAGGATGATGGTGGCACACTCCAGCTGCTCAGGGGACACTCGCTGGCCAGCTCTGTCCCTAGGGGCTGCCCCATCTCGCTCCAATGTGAGGAGACTCACAGAGACAGTTTCAGTGCGTGGGAGCCCCAGGCCATCTTTCAATCTCCTGTTCCTGACAGATTACTTTACCCAATTAGAGCATAAATTAGATTTGATGAGGCCAATTAGAAAGCAGACAGGAGATTCACTGCTGAGGGCCAGCGGTGGCCCTGTGCTGCTTGGTGGGACGCAGGGGTGTGGAGGGTGGGGGTGGGGGGAAGAGGTTGTCTGCCATGGGCTGGGCTCCCACTTCTGGAGAACCCTGACACTCTCAGGAAT